GGGAGCGGGGCGGCCGCTGCACGGAATCGGCCCCGTCACTCCCGCTCCGCCGGCGCTGGGACCGAAACGGGGCATCCCCGGTCCCATTCTGGCCCGGGGATGGGACGAACGGGAGGGCCGCTCCGATCCCAGGACCGGGGTGATACCGGGAACCGCGGGCGCGGCCGGCGAGGGGCTGTCTCCGGGGTGGGCAGCAAAGCTCTCCGGCGTGCTGGGACTTGCGGAATGCCGTGGGGCGCCCCAGGGTGCTGTGGGGCTCGGGATGCTCCCCATGGGGCCGAGGCGGCTCAAGGGGCTACAGCAGGCAGCACCCATGGGTGYGCGGGGGGTGGGTCACACTGCGAACACCCTAAACCTGTCTGTTTGGCCTGGGCGTAAATCAAAGCCTGTCTTGAGACGCACCCTCCCTGCTCGCTCCTGGCCCCWGGGGGCACCTCTGGCTGCTGGCACTTGTTGCAAATCCTACACGAGGGGTGTCACCAGCCCCGCAGGAAYTGGGAGGTGCTGGGAAGAGCACAGGGCGAGTGGCCGGTGTTATCTCCAGAGTAGCAAGTGGACCCCTGTGTGTCCCTTGTTATTCGAGTGACACACAAGCTCCGCGGGCTGCACGAGCCCCAGCAGCCCTCGTTGCTTCCCACCCGCCCGTCCTGCCGGGCGATGACAACAGCGGCTCCATAAATAACAGCCCAGCCCTCAAGTTAGGCTGGTGGAAACATGGGAGCTTTTCCCGTTCCTGCCGGCTGCGTCATCACAGGCACACCTGGCCAGCCGGGAAAGCGCGGGAAAGCCAAGCACCCCTGCCCAGCCAGTACCGCGGTGGTCCAGGTGGCACACAGAGCCTTGGGGACACTGCAAAGTGCCACCACAATGAGGCAGGACAGAGGTAACTGGTCCCTTGTGGGGCTGTGCAAGGAGCCCAAATCCCRGCAGGGTTTGCCTGCTCACTGCAGAGAAAGCTGTCTGCTCTCTCAGTGCTTTCCCTTTAGCTTTGGAGCAGCCTCAGCCCGCGGTTCAGGGCTTATCTCCCAGCGCAGCTCGGAGGGAAATGCTTGGAAACGCCTTCCAGGGATAAATCAAGTTGCACTGGCTGAGCTGCTCTGGACTCTGTTCCTCATGACCTCAATGTTTTGGCTCCCGTGGATGCTGCGCGAGCGCCAGCAGCACGTCCAGCCCCGCGGTCGCCCTGCAGTGTTTGAGCACCTCTGGCTGGACCAAGGCACATTCCTGGGAGAGGCCACGCCGGAGCTGGGAGCAGCTGTGGAGCTCCCACRTGGAGCTATTGAGCAGCAGGAGCTGGACTTGGCCTCTTGCCCTGGGGCATGGGAGAGCCCCTTGTCTCCTGCCCTCCCCATTCGGCTTTCTATTCAATCCCTTGCTGGAAGAATGCAGGTCTGGAGCTTCCCAAAACCCACAGGCTTGCTGTGTCCGGCCCTTAGCAGGGACCAGCCGGTGCCTTCGGTTTCTGCCCCACAGTCACCAACTGCTCCCTGCTCAGCGTGGGCATCATTAGCTCGTGACTCGAGCGTGGGGGCGACACATACGGGCGGCAGCTCCCCGGCCAGCTGCTCCTCGCAGGGAGGACACCCAGTGTGGCTCTCATGGCATTTGCTTTATTTTTAAGAGTCCTTGAGCTGGGTGGCTCCAGCCTGGGCCTGAAGCTTCGGGTATTCTCCTCCACAGAAGCAGCCTGCCAGCGGGCAGGAGGGAATTTTCGCTTCACAGAAGGAAGCTGAGGCTGTCCTGGCTTCACCTGCCCCCAGCACTTGCTGCTGGTACAAGCAAAGCAGTGGGAGCTGCTGGGGGGTCCCTGCATGGCCATGTCCCTCCTTGGGCACAGTGTGGGGACCGTGCGGGGCAGTGCAGCACCTGCTATGCTGCCAGCACCGTGGCCCCTTCCAACAACGCCACCAGCGTGGGCTATCCTGGTGGCATCCGAGCCAAGCTGGCACGTGTTTCTTCCCTTTGAAGTGGAGTCGCTGGCATGGGGCCTGCCAAGGACAAGGGTGGCTTTGTGCAGGCAGTGGCCACTTTGGGGACACAAATGCAGCCGCTTAACCCTCTCACCAGCGCGGCCTCACGGGGGGCATCCCAGCTTGGGGACATCCAGGCAAGCAAGGCCTTGGTGTCAAGGGCTACCTGGGCAGCGAGCTGGGGAAGGAGGAGGCAAAGGGCTTTGCGAGCACTGGACRCAGCTCATTTCTGCAGCTGTGCAAATAACACCCTGCCCAGCCCCATGCCCTCTTGCTGCTTTTCCTGGGGCACTTTGCGTGTTACCGAGAGCCTGGTGGCCCCCCGTGCCGGCCTGGCCRGGCTCTGCAGCTTGGTCATCCCACTCTGCCACTGTTCACACTGGGGATTCATGCTAGGGATGGAATTGGTGCTTGTAGCTCACACCCTATCTCCCCGTAGCTGCCAGCACCAGCCCCAGCCTAGAGGGTTTCTGCCCTGGGRCCCGCTCTGCTCACCCTGCTCCCAGGCACCTTGCTGCTTGTGTATTCCCGAGTACTGAYGGGTGGCCGTTTCCGGACATTGTGCATGGATTGGGAGTGTGATCGAGCTGGGAGCGCCATGGGAACGGGGCTCTGCGCTGCTTTGCCGTCACTGGCGTTTTGCATCTTGGTGGTGGCAGGGACAGTTTGGTTTGGTTCATAGCTGAGCAAAAGCGGAGGCTGCTCCTCTTGTCCACCCCACCCCTGCGGGCCAAAAACACGCAGGGCTGAGCGATGCAGGGCCAGAGAGCGAGGCTCTTTGCTGGACTGGGAGCTGGGCACGTGGACGGCCAGACAGGATCACGTCCCTGGGTCAGCGGAGCAGAGAGCAGCGTCCTCGGCGGCTCCCACTCGGCACAGCCCCGCCAAGGGCTCCGGAGCGGCGGCCAGGGCTTGTGCAAGGAGCCGGCCTTGGGCAAGGCGGGATGTCACCAATCCCGGGCTGTTTGACGGCTCTGCGGGAAGCCAGGGATGGAGCCGGGTGGTTTTTCCTGGCCTGGCCCCAGGCAGGACAATTCCCGGTCCTGCAGCGGAAGGGAGCTGTTTCCTCCGAGGAAGCGGCCCCACTCGTCCTGACGAGCGCCGGAGCCACGTGGCCCTGCCTTGCTGCCGTCCCTCTTCCTCCCATTTGATTTACAGCATGTGCGAAGCCCCTTGGGCTGGCCCGGGCACTGTTAAATCACTTCGAGGAAGGAGCGCTGCGATGTATGGAGAAGGAAGCGAGCTCTTTCCCAGAACCGGCCAGGTTCGAGGAGGCGGCGGTGGAGCCTTTCCAGGCAGCCGGTGCCCGTTGGGAGGTTCCCTTGGCGGGCATGGAGCTGGCAGTGCGGGAATGGCTGAGCCCGGAGCGCAGCTCGGTGCAGGAGTGGAGCAGTCCCCATGGGATGCAGAGGTTGCACTCCCTGGGCTGTGCAGGCAGGATCCGGCTGCAGGGGGGTTGGCAGCGGAGCGGGGGGAGCCCCAGGGTTTGGATTAGGGCTTGGCCCCCAGCACAAGTGGGAGCCTCTGTTCCAGCCCCTCCTGCCTTTGCTCCATAGCTAACAATCCCGCATGCCTTCCCACCCTGTGCTGCTGTCCCACAGGGAATTAGGGAGTAGGGAGGAAGGGGCCAAGCTCTTCCCAGTGGCGGCCAGTGCCAGGACAAGGGGCAATGGGTGTAAGCTGAACCCCAGGCAGCCCCATCTCCACGTGAGGAGGAACTTCTGCAGTGTGAGGGTGCCCGAGCCCTGGCCCAGGCTGCCCAGGGAGGCTGCGGAGSCTCCTGCTCTGGAGGTCTCCCAAACCCACCTGGATGTGCCCGGGTGCCCCCTGCTCTGGGTGTCCCTGCTGGAGCAGAGGGTTGGACTGGATGATCCCTAGAGGTCCCTTCCAACCTCAACCATTCCATGATTCTGGGATTCTGGGATTCTATCTTGAGAAAAGCAAGCTCGCTGCTTCATCACTCTATTTTGAGCATTTCTTTGCATTTCTTTCTCTCCTCACTGGGCCTTATCAGCCAGAAGAGATTCTCCCTGCTCAGCACCTACTATGGAAGCGCTGGGGCCGCAGGAACTAATTTTAGAGGTGATGGGGAGGGTGCGGCAGCCGTGCCAAGAGCGCTGGCGGCCGCTCACTGCAGATAAGTGAGAGCTGCCAAACGCCAAGTGCCAAGTGGAGGGGACAGGCCAGGCCCTGCATGACCCAGGCAGCTTCCCCAGGGATGTGGGATTCCCCAAGGACGCCGGGAAGGGAGCTGGATGAGGCTGAGATCCCTCCCGGTGTCCCCTGGGCGGCTGAGATCCCTCCCCGTGTCCCCTGGGCGGCTGATGCAGCGAGGAAGGAGCTTGCCCAGGGCTCAGCGGAGCCGGGACCCGCCTCTGGTGACGTGGCTTTGCCAGAGCTCCTCTGTTCCAGTACAAACCTCTGCGGGAGGATCGCGCCCCAAAGCCTCAGCGGGTGCCGGCGGCCTCCTCCTCCTCCTCCTCCTCCTCCTCCTTCTCCTCGCAGCCTGTGCCCCCAGCACAGCCGCGCTCTGACTCACGGCTGCACTCTCCGGGCGCTGGCAGCAGCTCCTCGGAGCCGGGGAGCCCGGGCGGCCACGCCGACCCCCGCCGGGCCGCGGAACATTCCTTAAATGTACAAACAATCCCCAGTTCGCAGGCGGTCCCGGCCGCGCCGCTCGCTCGGGAAGCAGCCGGGGCGGGAGGGCTGGAGCGGCGCGGGCGGCTCTGGGGAGCCGGGACAGATCCGCAGGCTCGGGATGGGGCCGGGATGGTAGCCAGGGAGCGGGGAGMGCGCGGTGACGCTGCCCGGGCTCGGGGTTTGGTCTCGAATGTGGCTCGCCGGCTGCGGCTGCTCCCGGTCAGGAGCGTTCGCAGGACTGTGAGCCCGCTCTCGTTGCAGGCTGACAGTGCCCTGGCTGGCGGTGGCCCTGCGGAGGAAATGGCTCAGCCCACACACCTGAACCAGAACCTGCCAGGTACAGGCGGCGGCTCGCGGGGGACACGGTGGGGCTCTCACTGGGCAGGGGACAGTGAAGGACCTGAGCTGCCACAGCATCACGGGCTGAACACCGAGCACGTCCTCACCCCAGCACCAGGCTCCCCGTCACAGAGCGGGTGCCTTGAAGCATCAAACAGCTTCAGAATCACAGAACGGTTGAGGTTGGAAGGGACCTCTAGAGATCATCCAGTCCAACCCCCTGCTCCAGCAGGAACATCCAGAGCATGAGRGTGCACTCAGTGCCCTCGTCCAAGTGATTAACGAGCAGGTTGAACAGCACTGGGCCCAGTACTCACCCTGGGGGACACCACTGGCCACAGGCCTCTGCCCTGGAGCTGGCTGTGAAGCTGCCGTGGTAGCAGGAGCAAGCCACCCTTGTGTCATCATGCAGCTGTACCGCGGGATGCAGATTCCAGCTCACCCAGGACAGCTCGGTTGGAAAACCTTCCCCTGCCGGTTGCATCCCAGCTTCTCCCTGCTTGTCTTGCAGATCTTGGTGGCCCCTTCTTGTACAGGGACCAGGATGATGGTGAGAAGAGCTCGTACTCAGTAGAGACGCCCTATGGCTTCCTCTTGGACCTGGATTTCCTAAAATACGTCGATGACATCGAGAGCGGCCAAACGCTCAAGAAAGTGCCCCTGCCTCGGAGGGCCAAGGGGGCCCGGCAGCCCCTCGGCGCGCTGCGCAGCCCCGGCGGCCAGACGAGCGGCTGGACATCCACCGAGTCCCTCACATCCACGACCAGCGAGGAGGGGAGGCCAGCGGCACTGCCGTCACCGCAGGGCTGTGCGGCCTCGGAGCCTCCGGGCAAGCAGGCCTCGCAGCCCGCGTCCCCATCGCCAGCGCCGAGGCTGCTCCCGCCGCCCGCCTGCAAGGGCCCCCTGAGGAACCCCCGCGTGGAGAAGACATTGCTGGAGACGAGCAGGAGGCTGGAGCAGGAGCAGGGCCACTTGCTGGAGAGCGGGACTCTCGTCCCACCGGGACTGGCCCCGACCCCGTCACCCGTGGGCGTCCCCTCGGGCGGCAGCGGCGCCGGGCAGGCGGCGCCCGGCTGCGGCAGGCTGAGCCCCAGCGCCTCGGGGCGCAGCACGCCGGGCGCCGCGCCGCTGCAGCACGTGCGCGAGCAGATGGCGACGGCGCTGCGGCAGCTCCGCGAGCTGGAGGAGCAGGTGAAGGCCATCCCCGCGCTGCAGAGGAGGATCTGCGAGCTCACGCGCGAGAAGGCCGTGCTGCTGGAAAAGTTGGCGGCGGAGCCGCGCTCGGCGCCGGGCCGCATTGCCGGCGCGGAGGCCGACGCGGAGCCGCCCAAGGCGCGGGCCAGCAAGATCGCGGAGCTGCGGAAGCTCACGGAGAAGCTCTGCGTGTCGGAGAGGAGCGGCAAAGGCGGCCGCTCAGCCAGGCCCGCTGAGAAACCCTGCGACTCCCCGGGCGAGGAGCGTCCCGCCAGCAACGGGGGCCCCTCGTGCTCCCCACCGCGGGCGGCCGGCGCCGAGCCGGAGCGCAGGGACGCGGCCGTGTGGGTGCTGGAGTCGGCGCTGGGGCTGCGCAGCGAGGCGGAGCAGGAGCTCGAGCTGCTGCAGCACACGGTGGGCCACCAGAAGGAGGTGATCGCCCTCATGGAGGGCCACCTGCGCGAGGCCACGCGGGAGCTGGAGGAGCTGCGCGTGGAGGTGTGCGCGCGGCGGCCGCGGCGCCTCGTGGACAAGGAGGTGCTGGCCAAGCCGCGCGTGGCCGAGGCCGCRGTGCAGGCCGAGGGGATGAAGGCTGCCAGCGAGCGCCCAGAGACGCTCGAGCGCGCCGTGAGCTGCTCGCCATCCACCGCCTCCGTTAGCATCAGCTGCCGCCCCGAAGGGAAGGATGCGGCTGTGGGGCCCGACACGCCGGTGTCGCGGGAGGAGAAGGGTGTCCAGGCCAACCTCGGAGGAGAAGGGGGGTCCCTGAGGAAGGAGGACGCCTGCCCGGTCACAGCAGAGCTGGGACAGGAGGACCCCGCAGTGGATGGCAGAGCAGCCCCCAGCCCCGCAGCCGGTGAGTTGGTGTCAGGGAAGGTAACGCGACAGCAGCGCTACTCATGTCATGAGGAGTGCCTGGTCTCAGCACCAGGGGCTGGGCTCRCCCCACCAGCATCTCCATGTCCCTCCAGGAGCCCTGAAGTCCATCATGAAGAAGCGGGACGGCAGGAGTGAGGCCGAAGGCAGCAAAAAGAGCCTGCAGTTCGTAGGGGTGCTCAACGGCGAGTAGGTGCCGCAGAGCCAAGAGGGGTGGGTGGTCACCGGTGGCCTCCCTGCGCTGCCCCTCTCCTTCCACACACAGGTACGAGACCACGTCCAGTGAGGAGGAGGAGGAACCAGAGGAGGAGGAGGAGGAGGAGGAGGAGGGAGTCAGCTCCTCCGAGAAGGCTTCAGCGGACAGCTCCGACAGTGACGTGCAGGGAGACACGGACACCTCGGATGAGGGAGGCGAGAACGAGCCGGGCGGCCCAGAGCCGGAGCCCGGGGCTGGGAATGACGGCGTGGCCGGGACGGAGCTCACCGAGGTGAAGGAGAAGTAAGTGCGGGAAGGGGCTGCCGGCRGGGAGGGCGCTGGTGGGGCAGCAGGTTTGGGCTCCTTTCAGAGAGATTTCGCCGTGTTTTGGTGTGGATGCTGGGGAAAAAGCATTGGCCTCCTGCAGAAACTGTTGGTTGGGAGAGAAAAAAAAAATCGGGAAAAAAAAAAAAAAGAAAAAGAAATCATTGTGCTTTGGGGCTCCTAAGGAGAATATGGAGCTAAGGAGGCAGCTGCCTTTTCGTTAGGGGAGATAATTTGGACTGAAAAACAAATTCCATGGCATTTTCCAAGAAAAAATCATCCTAAAAATGGGCAAATCTCTGCCAAGCAGGGCCATATAAGGCTCAGTTCTTCAGCCAGGCCCTCTCCTGCCAGAGCAGGGACAGGAGAGCATCTCTGTGCAGCTCCCCTGGGCAGGAACACGGAGCAGCTTCCCACCCTGCTCCTGTGGGAAGCGTTGAGCCCAGCGCATGTTTGCAGAGACGGAAAGGCAGCCGGGATGCCAGTCCCTGGGAGGGACACAGGGCGCTCCTTGCCAGGGCTGTTTCGGTGGGGTGAGGAGATCCTGCAGCCCCACATGGACACGCACAGGCGCTGGCTTGGCCCCCACTCAGTGTCTCCCTTGTTCTCCCCGCCAGGTTCGAGCTGAACCCCAGGATGCGGGAGGCCTGTCTCATCGTCAGGAGCTACCTGGGCCACCCCGGAGCGGCCAAGAGCAAAGAGGTGGTGAGTGAGGGTGCTGTGGGTGGGACGCCTTGGCCCCTTATTCTCCTGGGTCCTGGCAGCTCCCTGAGGAAGCRGGCTGACTGTCCCTGGCTGGTGGGCACAGTTGGAGCTTCGCCTTCCCAGAAGYCGTCCAGAAAAGATTGACCAAGTTCCCTCCATCTCCAAAACATGCCCTTGTTCTCTGCTCCCATGTGAGGTCAAAGTCTGGTGGCCTCCAGCCGGAGTTTGGAGAGCACAACTTTCTGCAAGAGAAGCAGTTCCGTAGGCTGACCATTCCCCCATTACCCCAAAAGTCACATGGACTCAATTATGGATGTCCTATAGGGGCATCCCAGCAAGGGGCTCTGCTTTGAGAACCTGTCTTCCTGCTTGGACACTGGGGCTGGAGGTGGTGGCAGCGTCCCTCCAGGGTAACGTAGGTGCTGGAGGGACATGACCACATGCCCAGGATTGGTTGTGCCTGGGAATGTTCTCAGTCCCACTCACCATCTGCAGCTCACCAGTAGCAGCCTGGTGCTCCAGGAGTGGTTCCGTGTGTCCAGCCAGAAGTCATCCATCCCCGACACCGTCGCCAACCACCTCCTGGCCTTCGCCGAGGTCTCGCCAGCCCTCCTGGCTCACGTGGTCAACCTGGCAGATAGCAACGGCAACACGGCTCTGCACTACAGCGTCTCCCACTCCAACTTCCACATTGTGCAGCTGCTCCTGGACACTGGTGGGTGGCCTCGACTCCGCTGTTTACCCCTCTCCCCAGGGACCTCACGTTGCTCCAGGTCTCCTTGCAGCTCCCCATCCCCACAAGAAGTTGCACCAGGGCTTGGACAATCTCGCTTTCCTATGAAAAACAGCCCCCAAGATGCCCGAGTGAGACCACGGGATGCAGCYGGGTTGTAGGAGGAGGTCACGAGGCATCACTGATGTCCCAAGTCACCCATATTGCCTTTCCCTCGCAGGGGTCTGTAACGTGGACCACCAGAACAAAGCCGGCTACACGGCCCTCATGCTGGCAGCACTGGCAGCCGTTGAGCAGGAGGAGGACATGAACGTGGTCAGGAGACTCTTCAGCATGGGCAACGTCAACGCCAAGGCGAGCCAGGTTGGTGCGGGCTGGGGACTCTCTTCGCTGCTGCTGTCTTGACTCCCTGTCCCCAGCAGCTCCTGGTGACATGGTCACCTCCTCCCTCCACCGTGAGGGCAGGACTGTGGTTTCCAAACCTGGGCTAGGACGTGGGGAAGGCATCACATCAGGGCTCTCCGGTTGTGCCCACACCTGGTCTCTSGGCAAGATGCTCATAGCCTCTTTGAGAACATGGGGACAGCAGCAGAGCCTCCCTAGGGCAGTGGGACTAGGGGGTCTGGCACTGTCACGTGCAAGTAGGAGCAGCCTGGCAGTGTCCCTTGCATTGCAGGCCGGCCAGACGGCACTCATGCTGGCCGTGAGCCACGGGCGGCAGGAGATGGTGGAAGCCCTGCTTGCTTGTGGAGCTGACGTGAACCTGCAGGATGAGGAGGGCTCAACGGCACTGATGTGCGCCTGCGAGCACGGCCGCATCGAGACCGTGAAGCTGCTCCTGGCTCAGCCCACCTGCGACATCTCCATCGTGGACAGTGTAAGTCCCACTCGAGGATTCGAGTCTTGAGGTGCTCGGGAGGCACGAGCCTTTCCAGCTCAGACGTGCTTGGGCTCCTTGCTGCTTCCCACTGYTCTGCCAAACCTCTCCCTAACGGCCCTTGTGCCCTGTCTAGGACGGGAACAACGCTGTCGCCATCGCGCTGGAGGCCGGTCACAGCAACATCGCTGTGCTCATGTACGCCCAGCTCAACAGCACAAASACGCAGCCCCCCGTGAGTACTGTGGAGCCCCCCAGCTCCCCTGTCCTGTCCCATGCAGCAGCCACGGAAGTAGCACGAGGTGCTGAGTAACTGTCCTCTCTCTCTGCAGCAGGGGACATCACCAACAGGCACCAAGAGCCCTGGGAGCCCAAAGAAACCAGATTAGAGCCACTTTCAGATCCAGCTGCGTGCCCAGAGAGCTGCCACCAGTGCTGGGCTGTATTCACATCCCACCCCTTGCGCCKTATCATACTGAGGCTGCAGACATTTTTATTCTCCTGTTGACAGAGCAGGCGTCACTCTTTGGGCTCACTCACCTGCAGGAAGCGTCCTGGACTCAGCTGCCTACTTCTGCAAAGCCACAAAGACAAACAAGCAAGCTTGGGGTAGGAAAGACAGTGAGATGAAGCCAGCGCTGTCCCCTCCTGGACCCACCGTCACCATCCCTGTGCCAGCTTGGAGCCCTCTGAAAGCCACTAAAACTACCAAAGACGAACAAAGCCAGGAGAGGACCAGAAGCTGCCTGCAGTTCTTCTCTGCCTTCTACCTGCAGTGTCTCTGAGGCTGGTGAGTCTTCAGCCTCTGGCAGCTGCAAGCCCTGCTAGTAAATCTGTCACCAGATCCAGCAGAACAGGCTTTRGTCTTTTCTTCCCTCCAAAGACATGGAAAACTTGCAAGTTTCAGGGGGTTTAAAAGGGSAGGTGGAATATAAAACCTCCCGGCTTAAGGCAGGAGGAAAAGGTCAAACAAAGCATTTTTGCCAGGGAAGAAAACTGCAAGATCGCACCAGATTTTCAGCTTGCAAGGAACCTGGCTAGGTCCTGGATCTGCTGCCCAGTGCTGGAAGGTGAAGCCCACTATATTGATCACAGAAGGAACAGGAGAGCTGATTAAGACTGCCTTAAAAATACCCTGGGAGCATTCCCAAACTCAAATACTCACTGCCTTTTTCTCCAGCATTTCCTTCCCTGGCTGACATCTGAATTTTCCCTAACACAGTCTCTCTCTCTCTCTCTCTCTCACACACACACACACACACTCACACACGAAATATATATTGCTTAGTCAAAAACATAGCTCATCATCAAATCAGTGTCTTGCTCATCAGGAGCAAAACTGGCTGCTAGGGGTGAGTGACCAAGACTGCATAACCCACACAYTGGGAGCAGGGACCTTATCTAGAGGCAGGGAGGTTGCCCTGTAAACACTGCTTATTCTAAACTCTTAACTACTGTGAAKACAAGAGCCAGCAAGTCCCTTTCTGCCTCCTGTCCTACTCAAAGGGGAAGARGGGGGCTAACAATTGTTCCAGGAAAAATGTGGGAAGAGCCAAGAGTTCAGAGAAAGCGTAGTGAAGATGGATGTGTATGTAGAAGCATGTGTGTGTGTGCGCGCGCACATGTGTGCAGCAAACCAGGTGGGAATTCAGGGTAAGGACTAGGAATGCAGAGTAAGACAAGGAAAGGCTTTTGCACGTGGGACAGGCTCTGCTCTCAACCCTTCACAGAGCAGCACAGTGCCCCGGCTCCCCTTTCTGCTCATGGTCTGTCCTCCTCTCTACCACCACTTCTGTGCCATGCAGAGCTGGCCTTRGCCACACAGCAAGCTAGGAAATGCTCCCCAATAAACTTGCTCTGGGCAACATCCCATTCTTGCCACAAACCAGATCCAGCTTTGCACTGAAATTAGTGTAAGATGCTCACAGCTGCTCCCCAGTATTCTAATTCATATTCCCTGCTTTGGTTTCACCCGTTGACTGATTAGTAATACTGATGTTTATTTTTAAGATACAAATAAAAACTCAAGTAAAATTTTGACCTTTTACAACACACTGGCAGTCAGCAGTCTCTCATCTCCTCAGTTTGCTCATGCCAAAGCAGCAGGGCAGCCTGGACATGGCTTCTGCTGCAACCAGTTGCCACCACAATGGTCTGAGTAGGTGCAGGGATATTGCAAGGTCACCTCCCTCCTCATTTACCTGGGGAGCACGTAGACCAGAGGGGTATTTGGGCTGCAGTTGCACCGAGCCACCCCCGATAGGGATTTGCATGGATTTAGCTCCATCCCAGCCCTGTGCTGCAGCCGATGGCTTGAGTCACATTCACTTGGCACACACTGATGCAGCTGCTCRGACAAATCACTAGCCTGCCATGCTCTGCACCTGTGGATAATGTAGGAACTGTAAGAACATATTTCCCCTCAAATGAGGATAAAAAGAGTGGAAATAAAAATGGGTCAAATGGGTCAAGTGACAGCACAAACAGTTGCTAGACAAGGGCTAGCTCCAGAGAACAATATCCATCTAAGACTGTACAGCACAAATGTCCCCCAAAAGGGGGGAAACACAAATGCTCTTGAAGAAAAACAACTCTATTTGTCTCAGTTTAGCAAGCTGAGTGCCTATTCCAGAGGTACCATCCTCAACTTTAAGATATTTAAGTCACTCTCAGCTGCTGGTAAAATGTCTTAAACAAAATGTGTTCAGGGAAGAGGAACACTGTCAATAGAGACCAGGACAAAAGTAAGAATGCAGGATGAGGAGCCACAGACCTAACTCCGTTCCACCACATCACAAACCAGCAGCATCCAACCGGTGGAAAAATGAGCACTGCCACAGGAACAAATAAAGGGCTTACAAGGGAGCTCCCCTCTGTGCCCAGCAATTTTCAGGCTCATCTTTACCTTCAAAACTGCCTAAAATAACAAACCTTTCAAGCTGATGTTAAATCAGAAGGGACAATCAAGATCACAAATAAAGAATAGGGATTTACAAGCTCCCGCAAGGGGTAAAAACACTCCCTGTTTAGGGGGGACCACCAGGAGAATATAATTTCATTTATATTAGCTTTCACAGAGCACCTTGCTGAACGCAGAAAAAGAGAAGCAGCCAAAGCTTGGCTACGAAAGACTGACATCCCAAGAAGGTCCATGTAATTTAATAGTGCCACCTCAGTGGTTATATCAAGGAAAGCATTTATCAGAAGGATCGCTACTAAGGTCAGTGCACTCAAGAAAACAYTAGTTATTTTTTGCCGTGAAAGACAGATGAATATAAAAATTCAAAAATCACCAAAGTTACCAGCAACCATCAGTAACACCAAAGTGAGGGCATTTTATCCCAAAAGGTTAAGCACAATCCCCATAGTAAGCAGAGTGGGTTTCTGTCCTGCTGAAAGCAATAATTAGAGGCAGCTGCACAAGACAAGCTCTAACATCCACACACTCAGTAACTGAGACCTAGACAAAACAGGATTGGGAAAAAAAAAGAAAAAAAGAAAACATTTTATTGTATTCACTCAAAACGCCATCCTCATCTATGGTGACCCATGTCTAGCAGCGCAGGTGTCAGCGAGCGGCTCGGAGGCAATGCAAGAAGTTTCCACCACCTGCAAAAGCAACAGCATGAACTGTTTTGATTAGAGAGCTGCCAGCCTCAGTGCCCGGAAAGGGGAGAAGTCAAATGGGGTACCCGGGGCTACCCACGCAGGGTACCCGGGGCTACCGGGGCAGGGTACCCGGGGCTACCTGGGCACTCCCTCAGCGCCGGCCTAGCGCAGCCGCCGGGCCTCGCGCTCCGACTCGAGCAGCGTCAGGACGTCTCCCTCGCGCACGGGCCCCTTCACGTTGCGGATGATGGAGCGGCTCGTGTCGTCCATGAACTCCACGCGCACCTGGGGGAGGCGACACCGCGCTGGGGCCGAGGCGGGAGCCGGGGGAGCGCGCGGCGCCAGCGCCTCGGCGCCGGCCTAGCCCCGCTCACCTGCGTGCACTGCCCCTGCGAGCCGGTCCGGCCCAGCACCTTGGTCACCTGCGGGCACAAGAGAGGCGTGAGCGGCGCGGGGCGGGCGCGGGGTCCCCCGGCCGCCCCCCGGCCGCCGCACCCTGGCCAGTTTGATGGGCTGCACGCGGCTCGTGTCCATGGCGGCGCGCGGCGGGCAAAGGAGGCCGCACCCCACTGCTCCCGCTTTTATAGCGCCGCTGGCTCTCGCGAGATTTGCGGCGCGCCCCACCCCCCCCCGCAGGCGCCTTCCGGCGCGCGCCCTTCAGGGAGAAGCCAAGATGGCGACGGCCACTCGGCTCATCCAGCGGCTGCGCAACTTCGCGGCGGGGGTAAGGGCGGCGCGCGGGGAAAGGCGGCGCTGGGGCCTGCCCGCGTCCCCGGGAGGGGAGCGCGGCGCTGAGCCGCCCGCGCCTTGCTTTGCCTTGCAGCGCGACCTCCAGGCCAAGCTGGCGCTGCGCTACACCGAGATCTCCAAGAGGTAAAAGGCGGTGCCGGCTGCTCCCCGGCCTGGTCGTGAGGCCAGAGCTCCGCGCTGCTCCCTACCTGCTGTTCCCCCGCCGTTTTTTGCCACCTTTTGCTTCAGATTATCATGTTTCTGCTCTCTGSAGAGCAGCTGTGACCCCTGCACTTGAGGGGCAGCTTGTCACAGAGCTCTGAGCAGAGCGCTGCTCTCCGCCCGCCTCTGCTTTTGACAGAGTTGCATTTGCTTCAAGCACCTTCAACTGCCCTTAAAACCTCTGCAGCTGCAGGCTGGGCAGTGCACCCCGATGCTCACCTCCAGGTCTCCCATCAACAGGGGCCYCTATTTACCGTAACACGCACTGAAATTGTGACACTTTTGCTGCCCAGGACCCAGCCGCCACCTCGGCTCCCGGTGGGTCCCAGCCACAAGTTGGCAGACAACTACTATTGCACCCGYGACGGGCGCAGGGAGACTTTCCCGCCCGTCGTCGTCGCCTCGGCGCAGAAAACGCTCGCTGCTGGGGCTCAGGCCGGCAGGTAGGTCTGGTCTCGTCTGCAGCTGCACACCGAGCTGCCTTGAAAATACACAGTTCTTCCAGAAACTAGTGTTGTATTCAGTAGGTCATAGAGTAATGATGAGCTAATACCTCAGTTCTGTATTTTTTCTTGAATAAATAAACAAATTGGTTGTCTGTTGACTTACCTAGGCTCTCCAGTGCTAATAAAACCCRTTCTTGTGATTACATTTGAGAGTTCTTCATTAACTGCTATTAAAAGCTACTCGAGTCTCTCTTTCTTCCTCTGTCTCAGCTCAGAATCTGCAGTGACAACAGCAGAAAAAAAGCCAGTGACACCAGGGCCACCACTCAAGAAGTGGGAACTTTCAAAAGACCAGCCGTATTTGTGAGAARCGAGTGGTGCTAGATGCACAGCTCATTAAGAAGTGACACTTTAACGTGGAAACCCACACTGGGTATAGCTGCTGTGCTAAGTGTATCRAATTTATCCTAGTTTTGCTGGTGCATGACTAATAAATATGTTTAAAGCTGCGCTGTCCCCATTCTGTCTGTTCTGTTTGAGTTACAGAGGTTACTTGCTTTCAGTGGCGCCTGTTGATACTGGTGTTGCACAAGTGTTCACTAAACGCACAAAAGGTAGAGAAGTGCTGCTGAACTTGGCGAGAACTCGCAGCGTGAGTGCTGGTCACCAGCCTGAGAGCACCGTGGAGGAGTGGGGCAGCAAATCCTGCAAATCCCAGCTGGATGGGGCTGCCAGCAGTGCYGCGGTGCCCGGCGATGTCAGGTGCATGGTGGAGCTCGCCTGTCACGAGCTGTCCCACATCATCCTCTTAGCTTGAGCTGAGCTGAGCCTGGGGCTTGCTGCTCTGTTAGGCTGAATCCCTTCCTTCATGCAGCGGGGCACACGGCTGGGACATGGATTTGGGAGCAGGAACCKCTTCCACTGCAGCCGTGGCCAAAATTTGCAGCCGTGTCTGTGGCAGTAACTTCCCTTCCTCCGTCCAGCCCATGGGGCCCAAGCAGAAGCGTTTTTGTTGTCCTAAATCCTTGGGCTCRGACACTTCAATTGCAGTGAGGCTTGTGCTGCTTTTCAGCATAGTATCAATTCTGTGCTCTGGCCCTCTACATTGAGCTAAGTCATTTCACAGAAATAAAGGTTAAAAAATTGAGGTTAAAGCAGATACAAGCCCTACGTGTCCTTGACAAAAGGGGTTTCAAGGGTTAAACAGAGGTGCTCGCTCTCCCTTCAGCTTGCTATAGGGRATGCCCTGCTTTGAAAGAGGACAGTATATGACAAATGCAAACAGCTAATAAGAACAGAATGAAGAAAAGGAGGAGCGTGGGGCTGGAAATAGCCCCTTATATAAAGTGTGAGCGCTTCAATCCCATTATTGTCTTAAGGRGCGGACACTGAGCTGCTTCCAGCTCCTCCAATGCAAACCGCAATCCGATCAGCAATCGGCTTTGGGAGGCCAGCAGGTGCCACGCGGCACCGGGACGCAGGCGGGGTCCCTTCGCAGCAACTCTGTGAGCAGGGAGCACTTGCCCTCGTTACACATGGCTGGRCACAAGGGACCCGCGAAGCCGAAATTGCCGTGAGAGGAGCTGCTGGGGTGGAGGGCCGGGCACGATGAGGCAGCCGGGGAGGAGGCGAGCGAGCCTCTCCCCCAGTCTGAAGATTGGGGATCCCCGGGGCTTCCCCCGGACCCCGGAGGAAGAGGAGCTCTACATCCCCTTTGCACAGGACAGCCTCGTGAAGCCRTGGGGCTCCATGCACGATGTGGCGGACAGCAACCATCAGGAAGGTGGAATTCCCATCCTAAGGAACAAGTATTTCCTCAACATTAATGTGGGAGGTAAATCATTCCAGATTGCTTGCAAGGTGGCTGCCCGCTATCCTGTCACCAGGATCGGGAAGCTCGCCGTCTACACAGACCCTATGAAGAAGCTGAAGCTTTGCGACGACTACTCGGTGCAGAGGAACGAGTACTTCTTCGACCGAGATCCTACAATTTTCCACTACATCTTCCACTTCTACCGCAGCGGGGTCCTGTGGATAAGGGATGAGATTTGTCCCAGTCACTTTATGGAGGAAATCGCGTACTGGGGACTCCATCTGAAATACTCCCAGCGCTGCTGTCGRATCCTGCTGGAGGAAAAGCAAGACGAGCTCAGTGAGTACCTGAAAATACAGAAGGAGTTGGAGGCGGAACTGGAGCCCCTGGACTCCGCAGAGCACTTTGAAGGTAAATGCCTGGGGAGCTTCCGGAAGAAGATCTGGAACCTCATTGAGAACCCTTACTCCTCTGTCCCAGCCAAGATCATTGCTGTCATGTCGAGCTTCTTTGTGCTCATCTCCATCGTAGGCATGACTTTGAGCACAGTGGAGGAGATGAAGCACAAGATTGGCAAGAAGTGGATGGAACAGGTGGAGATGATCTGTGCCATTTTCTTCACTTCCGAGTATCTCATGCGGCTCATCTCCTCCTCCAGCTTCCAGAAGTTTTTACGGGCAGCATTTAATGCTGTAGACTTAGTGGCCATCCTGCCTTTCTATATCCAGATTCTCTTTGAAAACCTGGATGAAGCRGACACACTTTACCACGAGGAACTGCACAAGATGGAGAACGTGAGCAAGCTGGGAAAAGTCCTCAAGCTCATCAAACTCATGAGGATCTTCCGCATCCTCAAGCTGGCCCGCCACTCCACCGGCCTCCGCGCCTTCGGCTTCACCATACGCCAGTGTTACCAGCAGGTTTGCTGCCTCTTCCTCTTCATCGCCATGGGCGTCTTCACCTTCTCTGCTCTCATGCACTCCGCGGAGCACGACGTCCCGGGCACCAACTTCACCAGCATCCCCTACGCGTGGTGGTGGGCAGCGGTAAGGAGCGGGGAGCTGTGCCAGGGAGGTGCAAAGTGTGGCCCAGGGGCAGGGGCCGCTGGTCCAGAGCTAGAAATAGGCCCAGTTTTCCCACTGGGTCCGGTTCAGCGGGAAGCCTAGATGTTCTCTAGAGGTCCCTTCCAACCTCAACCATTCTGTGATTCTGTGCTGCTGGGTTCAGATCCTCTAGGGGTGGATGCTTGGACTGAACCGGGCAAGTACGGGGACACTTGGCTCCAACCTAGTCCTGGAAGGAGACCCCAGAGGGGTCTGGAGACCCCAGAGCCGAGCACACTGCAGGTGAGGACAGGAACCCTCAGGCTGCTGGAGCCCCTGGATTTGCCTTGTTCACTTGCGCCACCAGAGCCAGCAGCCCTGCTGAGCCAAGCGCTATAATAAACCTGGGATTAGCTCTGAGCTGACCAACAACTAAAGCTCTTGAGATGCACGGGTTACTGAGGGGTTTTTGATTTGCAGACAAAATGATCCCCTCAGTCACTTCTGCTATTCTAATCCCACTGCACCATCACCAGCTGCCTGCCTCTCATTAACCTCTCCCTGAGGAAATGGCTCTTAGCAAAACCAGCTGCTCCAGGTGTTTAGACAAGCAGGGAGGAGAATTCCCGACTGGCTGATCCTATCCATCAGCTTATCTCCATCCTCTCCCAGGTCAGCCTCTCCACCGTGGGCTACGGAGACACCGTGCCCGAGACAGTGGTCGGCAGGATCGTGGCRTTCGGCTGCATCTCCTTCGGCATCATCCTGAACGGAATGCCCATCTCTATCCTCTACAACAAGTTTTCCGATTATTACGCCAAGCTGAAGGCCCACGAGAACGAGACGAGCCTCTCGCTCAAGCTCTCCAGGAGGATCCGCCTGAAGCAGCGAGTCCTGCGGCAGCTCTCGTTGTGCTGCGGAGCCGAGCCGCGCTCCCACCACTGACTCTCCGGACAACCCCCCTACTCAGCCCGGCCTGTCCCCCTTGTCCTGGCCATCCCTCCCTGCAGCTGCTCTTTTGGGTCCTGTCCCCTAGGACAGCTTCGGGACACGGGGACAGCAAGCAAAGGCAGTGGGAGGTGCTGGAGTAGAGGGACCTGCTGGGAGCTGCACCCGGCCAGTGGAATCCCTGGGGAAAGCTCCTTGGAAAAGGACTCCGGGCAGGACCTGGCTGCAGAGACTGGTGCTGATTTTGGGTGCCCCGGTGTCAGCTTGTGGTCACTGATAAGCAGCTGCTATTTTGAAGCTGTTGGAAAGAGTCTTGGAGTGGATCAGTGGACCTTGCTCTGTAGATCAGACACCCTCCCACCAYGTCCCGGAGTGTGGAGGGGCAAAAGGTTGTGCTGCAGGGTGTGAGGTGGGACCCATCACCTCACCCATAACCCCCCGGCACCCATCCCAGAGCTCCATCACTTCGGAGCTCCCATCACCTCCAGACACCCAGCCTCCAGACACCTTCGGTGCTCCATCACCTCCAGACACCCAGCCTTGTGACTGTCCGCCCCACGGGGCGGCAGTCACAAAAGAAATCCTCCTTTGAGAACCGCAGGTTTAATTCTCCAAATTCATTTTACAAGTCATAAAGAAGTGCAGCAATGTCCAGACGTTTACAGGACGCTGTACAGGCRGTTTCTGTCATATATTAGAGCTCTCGCTATATACATATACAACTATATACAGCCTGCAGGAAGCCTTCACGTAGGTGAGGAAACCTGCGTGCCCTTCGCGCCCCGAAACGGAGCYAGCTCCTCTCCCAAATCACTTGTTGGGTCAGTCTAATGCGAGCTCGGTCCGAGCTTTCCCAGGCCCTGCTGGGCCCATGTCCCCATGCTGGGGACAGCTGACCACATCCCTGCTTTGCTCCCCCTGGCCTTTTGATACCGATTTTGCAGGACGGAGGCTCTCGCAGGGCGGTTTTGCATTGGGGCCAAATCCATGCAGCCTCCCGGGGCTCCCGCAGGGATGGAGGCAGCAGGACGCTCCTTCCTCCCACATCAGTGGCAGCCACAGCTCCCGGCCACCATGTCGTCGTACTGCTTGAGCACCACGTTCTCGTCATCGTCGAAGTAGAGCAGGTTGATGGAGTAGAGCTTGTCGGGGACGCAGCAGGGGCTGCTCACGCCCTCGCTCAGCTTGAGCGCGTTGATGATGGACTGCACCGTGGCGTGGTTCGTGGGCCGCATGTTCTCGCCCAGCGGGAAGGGGCAGGCGCCCTTGCAGTGGTACGCGTTGTAGCCGCGCGGCGAGATGATCCAGCCGGACCAGCCGATCTCCTCGAAGTCCACRGAGAGGGGATGCCGCTGGCAGGGCTGGAGGCGGTCCAGGGAGCGCGTGCTCCGCAGCCCGCTCCCTTTGGGCGCCGGCATCTTCGCAGGGAGAACGGGAGCCTGGAGCTGGAGATCTAGCCAAAATGAGGAAACGATGAGTTAGGGACTGCACAAATTCTCCTGAGTGGCAGCTACAGGTCTCATGAATTCCCTGTTCCCATTCCTCAGGGGTATCTAAACCCAAARGGTTTTAATAATTGCATCTCAATGCATGGGGAGAAGTGGGGGGAAAGGGTTTACACGAATGTTCTGGGCTCTCTGTAGACCATCGGAGCTGCCAGCACAGCGTCCATCACCGTCTCCTCCAACCCAGTTACACCCGCAACAGCCACAGGCACCAGGACCCAGCAGCTGCCGCAGCAGAGGTGCCGGTGGCTCTGCCCTGTCGCCCTCTCCGTGCGGGCACGGAGCACCCGGGACACACCTGGGAAGGCACTGCTGGGCAGGGAGGCTCCGCGGCGCCCGTCGTCCGTGAAGAGCACCAGCATGGGCTTCTTGCTCTCATGGTGGTCCCGGCTGGAGGCGAACCGCACGCCAGGGGGGTCCAGCGAGCCCCCGCCCAGGCTCTGCACCAACACCAGCAGCCCCTGGTTGCTGCCCTCATCCTGTGTCCAGTCGCGGACCTGGGGAACGGAACAGATGTCCCCATGGGTGACCCTGTGGTGTCCCAGGTGTCCCAGCAGAACCTCCACTCCTTGGGCCATGATGCAGTAAATGCAAACAGGGACGGTGTCCAAGTCACCGTGTTGTCCCTCCCCGCACCTCTGCGCCCCCCAGATTGGGGTTGGGGCACTCACAGCTTGCGTGATGGCGAAGACCTCCCAGCCCGAGCCCTGCAGCGCCAGCAGCCGCGTCGCCAGCAGCTTCTGCCCTTCCGGCGCCTCCAGCCTCGTCTTGTCCAGGACCTGGTAGATGCTCACCTGGGGACGGAGGGCAAGGCCAGTGACTGGGAAGCCGGGTTGGGTTGTGCTCCTCCAGGCAACAACTGGCCCTGGGCACCGGAGCGTGCCCGCGTCCCCGTCCCCCCGCTCACCTGGCAGAAGTGGTGCCGCGTGGGCCCATKGCCGGCCCGGGGCCAGAGGCGGAAGAGATGCAGCTCGGCCGTCAGGATCTTCTCGTTCTTGGCTACGCTGGACAGCACGAAGAGGAAATGCATCTTCTCGCTGTGGACTGAGGAGGAGGACGGGTTAGCGAGCGGAGCCCGAGCGCAATCTCCACTCRGGCCCATCCTGCAGCCCGTGCCTGGGCTGGGAGACCCACGGAGCCCCCGGCTCCCCCTTACTCTTATCCAAGAAGCTGCGGACTGTGTTGCCCGCCAAGACGCCAGGGTTCTTGGTGACGCCGTCCGCGTTGGCCACGGTGTTGAACAGGTCCACCATGTACTGGGGCGGCTGCTTGACGTGGGCCGGCGGCGCCGGCGGGTCCTCGATGCCGAAGACCTCCAGGAGCCTCTTGAGCGCTTGGGCTCTGCGGCTGGCRCCGTCCGGGGCGGCGCTCGCCGGCCTCGCCAGCGCCAGCAGCAGCAGCGCCGTGGCCAGCATGGTCCCGGCGCGAGTCCCGCCGGCAACCCCGGCCCCGCGTTTATAGCTCGGCCCTAAGAGGGTCTCGCAGGCAAATATGCGCCCGAGCTATCAGGAAGGTAAAGAGAGCTGATTGCCATGCTAACAAGGTGCGAAGCTGGGCTGCCCRGCGCCCTGCGCCCATTAGCCCCAGTACACAAGGGCTGGGAGGAAGGCTCCGCGCTGGGGGGAACGGGGCTCCCTCGGCAAAGCCCCGACCCGGCTGCGTTTGTTCTCCATGGGAGACTAACGGGGTCTTCATGACGCCGCTAATGGGGCAAACAGGAGGACGTTTGTGCCGAGAAATTCGGCAGCTGCCAGCAAAGAGGGAGAGGAAGGACGGGGCGGCTGGTGGCAGCAGCACTTGTACTGGAAACGCCTGCTGGCAGAACTGAAATGAAACTTAGAAATAAACAATTAAACCCAACAACTGGCTTCCTAAAGATTACAGGACAGTGGCTGATAACCTCTGAGCGATGGATACTAATTAAGCGAGAATCCTGTGGAGTCAGGCTGAGAGGATAAAGCCAATTCCTCACTGCCATTCCCAAAGTGGCTGAGCTGCTACCGTATATGTGGCCTCTTCACACTTGGCACTTGTTTTAATGCCCTACAACTTGGCAGAAATGTTCCTGCTGGCACAGCGGGTAAAACGAGCAGGATTAGAAAAGCCTGTTAGCTCTTAAATTGCCCTGGGAATATGGAAATCTCTGTGACTGAGGCCCTCAAATCCCGGCTCTCCCCAGCAGCTTGGGGAGGCACTGGGAAGCGGACGCAGCCTCTCTCCATCCCAAGCYGGCCAGGATCCCCACAGCTGCAAGGCAGAGTCACTTCCAGGCTAATGTGATTAGGAGACAAACTGCAGGCCAGGGTGCCCCTTGGCACCTTTAATTTATTCCAACCTGATGTTTGCAGGGTGAAAGGGCTGCTAATTATCCCGAATACACAGGGAGGCGATTGCAGGCATGTGGCACAGGCTTGCGTTAATCGGAAGAGGAAACCACTCAAAGCCTCCGCATCCTTTCCTTCCTCTTCCCCGGGCACATTCCTGGTGCCAGGCAGCGCTGCGCATCCCACCGGCTCATGCTGGTCCCCTCAGGGCCAGATGCCCTGTGGAGGGGACACCTGTGTCCCCAGCTCTGCTTGCAGCTGCTGCCCCTTTCCTTCATCTCTCTTGTCTTCCACTTCTGTAAACGGGAGCAGCCCAGAGGCCAGGGACACTCGGGCTCATCCCAGGATGCCCGCGCAGACCGGGGATCAGAGYGCCCCAGGGAGCTGCAAATCGCCCCTGCTGTTGATTTTAGAAGCTGCCAAATATTCCGCGGGTAGTTGATTTATACGTCCCCCATTTAAAATATCTTTAATTCATAAAACAGCCCTCTCTCGTTTACATACAGCACAGACAGTCTGGCGGGGCCCTGCGGGACCCCCCTGGGGCCAGGCCTGCAGCCCGAGGCCGCTGCCCCTGCACCAACACAGGGGTGAGCTCTGAACTTGTGCCCGTCCTAGTGCTGCGGGGCACTGCGGCGCACGGAGCCTCTCCCTAGCGGGACATTTCTCTCCACTTTGCGAATCCCTGCGGATAAATAAGCTAGTGATTCCTAAGGGAAGGGGGATGCAGCCCCCAGCCCTCCCAGTGTCCCCCTTACTGACACATTGGGGGTCCTGCCTGCTTCAGGGGATCAAAAACACCCTGCCCGGGGCTGTTGGCACCCCCAGACACTGCACTGCCCTCGGACACTGCTTGTGAGCACCTGAGAAAGGACAGAGGCCCTGGGCAAGAGAGGCAGCTCTCTCCCAAGGACATTCGACAGGAGAATTTCTATGCCTTGCTCCCTGCTCAGTAAACCATTTCCTCCCTCCTAGCCTCGGCAGAACAGAGCCGCTTTATTTCTCTGCAGTTGGACTTGATTCCCGTGCCAATGACTGCATTCCCAGCCCCGAACAGCCCGGCAGCGGCGCGCACTGAGCGTGGCTGCAGCGACACCAAGGGCTCTGTCTCGCGGAGACGCCGCTCCCACCACCRCTGCCGGACCCTACACACCTAGAGAGGCCCAAGTGGGCGAGCGCCGAGTGCTGCTCCAAGCCTCTCTCCGTGCTCCCCCTCCCCAATCCTGCCCCAGGCCCGCACAGACGCTGGGGAGCAAACACCCACACAAACAGAGGCTGTGAAGGCTCCAAGAGGCCCCTCAGACGTGACTGCGTGCGGACACATCCTGGAATGAGACGTGCTGGGACGAGGCTCCAGCTGCAGTGCGGCTTTGGCTGGGGGGGCCGAGGCGGTGATCCCAGCAGCTGTGCTTACCTAAGCAAGCGGGGCTCCCCTAGGAGCGGCTGCTCAAGCACCTTCCCACAGCAATTTCCTGCAAAGATCTGCAAAACAAAGGCATGAAAATCCCCCGCGGCACCACAGCCGGAGGGCTCCCGCCCCTGGCCGCCCTCCACCTGCATCCCTGCTCCAATACACAGCCCGAGCGCAGCGGCGCGGGCGCCTGCGCACTGCTCCTGTAGTATAACGGAGGCAAATGAAGGGAGAGAAATTTTGGGGCCCTCTCCCTGAGCCTTCTGAGATGCGGTTACCCGTGCACAAAACCTGCCTTAAAGCAGGGAGTTGTCGCTGCCAAAATGAAATGTTACTATTGGAGCATAAGGCATATTTTAAATAAGTACYTGTTTCCTTAATTGTTTTGAAAATAAGTTCTCACTACACACAAAAAAAAAGTTTGTTACTTCATGGCACTAGTGTGTAAACAAATTTGGGGTGGTGAAATACATTTTCTCCAGGAAATTTACAGTAATTTACCTGGGTGATTTTTGCAGTAGTTTGTGGAAAGGGAAGCAGAGCACAGCACGCATCACTGCCAGTCACCAAAGCAGGGAGCCTGCTGTACATACGATGTCTAGTGTGAAATCGGGGTGAAGATGCAATTTGGGCGAAGCTCCTCYGAGAGCTCCAGGTCCTCTTTGAGACCCCGGTGTTTTAAATTCCTCTTAATCCTAGGGAAGTAAATAGCTGCGTGTCAGCCCATCTCCTGCTGATGCCCACCCCGAGAGCCAGACTCCATCCACGCTCCATCCACGCTCCTTTCCGATACACAATGGGGAGCAAACACCCACCCATCCTGCATGTGCAATTTCTGGCTGCTCCACAACCCGCTGGACTGCAACAACCCCCTGCAAATACCCTGCAATGCAAGTCAACTATTCCCATCTCACTTCCACATGATTCTTTCATCCCATTCCCACTGCAAGAGCATCTCCCTGTGTTGGCACAAGGAAGATGCTGCATCCACTTGTGCTGCAGGAGTACAACCCCGTGCAGACACTGGGATAATCCCACAAGGAGACACGTGGTGTGTGGGGGGGAAGTGCTTCCCAAGGGAGCTGTTACACAGGGATGGAGCTGGTCCRTGCGGAAACCACCCCCACTTCCCCAAAGCTTCCAGCTTGCCCCAGGCAAAGCTGGCAGCGGGACGGCATTTCTCAGCRAATGAGCCATCTTCCATCAACCACTCTGCAGATCACGGCCATCAGCCTGCGCCTTCCAGCCACCCAGCTGGGAAGTAAACGTGTCACTGATTCTGCCTCTCTTGGGAAATAAATAAAATAAAGAAAGAACCAAGCTAGGCCACCCATCTAAGGTCAGCCCCCATTGCTGCTTTCCTGGTCCCCACGAGCATGGCAGGACTCTGTCCCTCTCTAGTGCTCTGAGTCAAACCCCAAATCTGCTCTGAGTCAAACCCTAAATCATTTGCAGAGCGCACGCACTCCCACCACAGCAGGAACCTTTGGAGACCAACAGAGCTTGCAAACAGCCTCACACCAGTGCGGAGCGACGAGATGAGAAGAGGAAAGGAAGGAACTTACTGGCAAAGACAGGGCTGTGCAAGAGCCAAGGAATGCCACYGTTAGCGAGTCCTGCACAGCTGCGCCCCGAGAAACACTGAGAGGTCACCAGATACTTACACYGGGCCCTCCCTCGGCAGGCAGGCAGGTGAAGGGCTCAGAGACAAACGGGTCTGCATAGTGCCGGCAAGTGCTGCCACCCTGTGATCTGCACCAACACCTAGGCTGGCTGGCAGTGACGGCATCTCACCTGCAACACGTCTGCGTGGCCGGGGCCTGCAGCAAACTTCAAAGGCTTTGGTGAGAGCGACCGCTTTGGCCCCTGGCCCTGGGTGGCTCGAGGAGGGGCAGGGGTGTCTCTGTTCTTCCCAGTGCTTTCCAACTAATGGAGTTTGTGGTAATGCGSAGTCACTTTTAAGTGCCCCCATCTGAAAGGAAGGTGCATCCTTCAGCCTCACGCATCGCTTTCAAAGGTGTTTCGAATGAGTAGATAACCCTCTTTTGTCCCTCCATCAAAATTTAGATGAAAACTGGCTCTTTGATAACAGGCTACAACCTGGAAAGTCTCAGAGCCACATCAGTAATGACAACACAACCCCCACTGGGGACCACCACATGGAGAGGCCTGAGGCTCCGTTTTYACCTGTCTCCTGTGCTGCTGAACCCTGGAGCCAAGAGGATGCATCTTCCTTTCCAGAATCCGGGAAGWGCATCCCCTTCATCCGCGCAACACAGAGGAGAAATCGGCACAGCTACTCAACAAAAACATTTAATTGTGCTTGGCTAAGAAACACACACATACAAAGAAAAACACATTTTGTAAAAAAAAAAAAAAAGACCATGTCTGGAGATCTGAGGCAGTCTATTGCCTGCAGAAGGCTCTGCACTGCTGCAGCATCCCTGGAGAGAGGCAGGGAGAGCAGCTCCTGAGCAGCTGCTGTGTGACATGGGGAGCTCTTTTCACCGTGATTACTGGGCACAGTTAAGTGGCATACAAAATATTTATGGAAAAAACATGGATTTTAAATAATGAACTTACAACAACTTAAACTTTATACAAAACATTACGGTTGCCATTTCAGTGTCTCAGTCCTAGGAACGATACTCAAACACTCATCCTGTGTGCATCTCTGCAGCTTGTTTCTCCAGAGGACTCCTTCTCTGAGCAGTTCAGTCCAAAGTACCTAAAAATGCAAAAGATGGATTTGGGAATCAGATGGATAACGGATATCCAGGTACATGAACAACCACAACTTGTCTACAAGCTGCCAGATGAATATGTAGCAACTTGGAAAAATTTAAAAATTCATAAAAGAGTAAGAACAAATTTAGCTGAGAAGTATTGCACATTTTGGTTTCTGTTTCTTTTTCAYATGTTCCACCTCTCAGAGAGGAGAGGGACAGGACCAGATAACCCACTAACTATTGAAGAAAACATGGTTCTACAAATGATTAAGCTCCCAAGGAGATGATTACACAAAATATTGAAACCAAATTAAATCAAGCAGAAACTCACCTTCCAAAAAGGCAAATTCATCAATCGCTTCAATAGCATTATCTGCAAAGTAGAGTGACACCAATTAATATAGATAAACCCACATCTGTATTTGCATCTCCTACAAATATCAGTATTTGAACTTAAMTTACATTACAGTGACCAAATTCAAAGAGGTTTATTTGTTCTGAAGATAGTATGTGAAATTATTGGCATAATATTTGATAGAAGAGAATGTTTTCTCTCTCATCTTTGGAAAAAGGAGAAGCATCTACGACTACCTCACCACAGGGGGATAGATCCTTCATTGTAACAACACTTCACCAAGAAACAAATTGCTCTCATACCCAGGTCTTTTCTCTGTAGAGTTTTCCTCTTTCCTTGCTGAGCGTATACATAAGCATCTTTAGCTATGGTTTCCACAAAAATTTCCTGAAAAGCAAAAACAGGACWATTTCACACACAGAACGTGAGGGGAAGTAGAGAACATTCTGCACGCAACGAGATAAAAAGAAAGATCCTACAAGATTTTCGAGAGAAGCCAGCATTTAAGATTTCCCCTTCCAATCCCTAGTTCTGAAAACAGCAGGTAGGATTGTCACGCAGTCCTTTTTGGACAGTAACAAGGGAAAGGAGCGGGCTGAGCGTGTGCTTTAATTAGGCAATTACAGTTGGTTCCTCCTAATGTGTCTGGGAGACCAGCTGCTCATCATCTGTCCTCAGGGCACGATCTGAGTGCTGGGTGCACAGGTGCTTGTTGGATAAAGCGGATCAAGCAACTGCCACTGTCCTCGCATGCCACCCAGTGGCATCCTTGCTGGAGGAAGAAAGCACCTAGGAGCAAGATGAAAGCTGCTGCAGGAAGATCCTGAAATGGAGAGAGAAACGTCTGCACAGGGATGCTTTTGCACAGGGATAATGTGCAAGATTGCATGCTTGTGGGGAGAAAAACAGCTCTTAATATTATTATATCACGGCGAGCTCATGGTAAGAGCTACCCAGCAGATCAAACCTCACCTGTGTGGCGGGAGACACAGAACTCAGAACAGGGTATCGCAAACGTCAGGCCAGCAGACCAAGTTAGGCAGGAAACCTCCCCAAACCAGGCCCGGAAGTTTAATGCAACTAAAATGTGAGATTCTGTGTTTTGCAGCTGTAAAGGCCCAGCGCTTCCTTGCCACAAGGCCACGCCAAGCAGAGGACAAGAGCTCCACAGACAAGCAGCAGGTTTCTACCTCAGAGCACTGCTGACCACAGCACCACAGGAGGTTTGAGAAGGTTTCCTAGCTAAGGGGGATGCATTTCCAAACGGAGAGCACAGCCCAGGCACTTCTTTCAGTTCTCCAGGTTTCTGTCAGCAGCATTTCTGAATTTGGGCTGAACAAGAACAAAGTGGTTGCAGTCCCTGGAAAGCTTCCACGCAATCCCTAGGAAACATGAAAGGACGGCGGCTCCAATCTCCCGTTCCAGGAGGGCACCTCAGCCAGGACCAGGAGCCACCACCGCTGCCCACAGCAGCTCTGGTCATTTCAGGGAATGCCAGGACAAGCCATGGGAACAGAAAGCATGGAGCACAAGCCTCTCAAATCCTCAAAAAATACTAGAAAAGCCCAAGCAAATGGGTCAATGTCCTCCAAACACGGAAAGCACCACAAAATACCTCAGAAACCTGGCATTAACACACGTACTCAATACAGAGCCTGGCCAAGAAGGGGCAGGAGGACCCTCAAGTAGCTCTGTTGCCCTGAAACAGCTTCTGCCCCCCAAAAAGTTTGAGGGCAACAAAATGAAAACTGCYGAGTGACAATATTGGGAGCACAGGCTCCAAGGAGGCACCCTTGGCATCAGCGGTGCCGGCGCTTGCCTGTGTCAGCAACATCCCGTGGGTTCCCAGGCGCCTTCCCGCCTGCTTCGCTCCCTCTGCCCTTCCCTTGGGCTCCTCCTTCGGATGCCGCCTCTGGACCCCTCTCCCTTGGCTCCGGGTAGCTCCAGGCCACCCCTGCGCTGCCCTCATGTCCTGCTCCCGCCTCCCACGGACACCCGGGACCCTCCCCGCAGGGCACGAGGCCCGGCCGGCCGCCTCCCCTGGCCGGGGTGGCCGCAGGGCGGGCGGGGAGCCGGGCGGGCGGCCCGGGAGAGGCGCTCACCGCGGCCCGCGCCAGGACGTAGATGGCCTCGTGGCTGGCCAGGCTCACGTCCGGGTCCGCCTTCACCAGCGCCTTCACCCGCGCCAACGGCAGCCGCGCCACGCGCGCCGGGCCCGGCGGCCCCGCGCCCGCCTCCTCCCCCGCCGCTGCCGCCGCCGCCGGCTCCGCTGCCGCTCCCGCTGCCGGGACGGGCCCCGCGGCCGCCGCCATCGCGCGCTGAGGCGGCCGCGCGTGCGCGGTGGCGGGGCCGGGCGGAGCCGGCGGCGGGGCCGTGGGCCGGGGCCGCCGCTCTGTGTCCCCGCACCTGCTTCCCTGTCGCTGCCGGCGCCGCCGCGGGTCTCGCTGTGTCCTCCGGTGTCCCCCCCAGCACGGCCACGAGCCCCCCCGTTCCTGACCCCGGCCCGTTCCTGAGCCTCGCCGTCACCCTCAGCGACCACGAAACCGGCCCCGGGCCTTTCTGTGCCCCCCTGCCACCATRAGCCTCCCTGTCACCGCTGGCACAGCCCTTGTCCTCCCTCTGTCTGCAAACCTGGCCATAAACCTCCCCATCCGCAGCCCTGGAATGGCCCTGGTCCTCCCTGGCACCCCATGGCACAGCCATGAGCCTCCCTGGCACCCTCCGGCACCGCCAGCCCATCCCAGTGCTCCCCCGTCACCCACCAGTGCCACGGAGGCCAGAGCAGACCCCGAGCGCCGCCTCCTCRCGGGCTCCACTGGGACCGCTTTGCCAAAGCTGGTGGAGTCCCATGGGAGCTGTGCCCCAGGTCTCTGCTCACTGCGGGATCATCAGAACGATCCTTTCTACAGCCGGGAAGGAGCCAGGCAYGAGCGCTGGAGCATCCCTCCAAAGGGGACATTGGTCCTCGCAGCAGGGACGGAGCAGACGGTGGCCACGGGCCGTGCAGAGCTCTGGAACCAGGGGCTGGGCGGGAAATTCCACGCTGCAGAGCCGTGTTTTGCCCCAGAACTGACTGAACCTTTCCTGTCTCTGAGACMGTGAATGGTGAAAACAGGATATTTCAACACACTGGTGGCCTAATTCAGCACCACTCCGTGCAATGCTCATTCCCATCAAAGCCCACCTCTCCTAGGTCTGAAATCTTGGAGGCGTGATCATAACCCTCCTCTGAGATACAGGTTTCTGTATGCAGAGCTGAGCCGATGTCATTACTAGATTGTATTGGCCTTGTCTATTGGCTTTGTACTCAGAAACAATGGGATGGGGATGGCAGAATGAAGCCACCAAAGAGCAGACCATGAATGTCCTCCATTCTCTGCAGGGCCCTTGGTGTTTTGGAGACGCAATGTGAAACCCGTTCATGGTGGCTGTGGTGAAATGAGGACGTAACCTGCCTTGTTCTTTGCAAGAATCCAGCCACCTGATCTCAGAATTGCTTCCCAAATCCAAAGCTCTTTCCCAGCTATCTGCCAGGCCACTTCATGGACAGCAGGGCCTGATGGACCTTAAACTTCTTCGCAGCATCAGAGCCTAGTATAGATGATAGCAATGAATGCAACGATGATGAATGCAAGAAAGCTGCTGCTGCCCCTCCTCTCCTTGCTTTACATCATCAGACTTCAGCTACTTCCTTACGTTACACTCAGCTTCTTGCCAACCATTTGGAAAGAGCCTCTTGTTTCAGAGGAGGGGGATTCCGCTGCCTCTGAGAGACACTCCAGTGGTCTTTAGGACAGAGAAGAGCATGCAGAAAGTGTCTACTGATGGAAAATGGTGAGTAAGATCTGTAGCTGGACCACTTGCTCTTGGGCTGTGACATGTCTGGGGTCAGGGCGTAGGGATTAGGGCAGTTTCTCCCTCTGTAATGCTTGAAAAACTGGAGGGTTCATTTCACTTTGTCATTACAAGGTGCTAGATCCTTGCACCTCTCCAGCTTCTCTTTTCAGACAGCAGCTCTTTTGCCCTGCTGCTGCTTATTGAAGCCCCAGCTAAACTGAAGAAGCTACTGAGCRTTAGACGAAAACTAAAAAATTGTGGCTTTGCTTTGTTTTGAAATGCGGCCAGTCTGGGCTAGCACGTGGATAGCAAAAGGCAAAGTCCTTGTGCACAGCTGCCCTGGTCAGAACTTGCAAAATCCCTGGAAAGTTACTGGCCTCAGTGCAAGCATTACTGGGTGACGCTGAATTGCACAGGAGGATAGATATGAAGAGAGAGAAAGAAGAGTCAATTACTTTGCATCACTGAATCCAGAAGACCACCTATCCATGCAAAACCTTTTGAAAACGCTAGAATTTATCAGAATGCAACAGAGCATTGCATAGCAACAAAGATGATGTATCCCACCATTGCCCATGGAATGGCAAACATTTAGTTTACAAACATTTGAATCATTTAGAAGCCAACTGCATGCTTGGGAATGTTGAAAAAAGTTGCTTTACTCGCTGATTTGTGTGAAAGCTCCACTAATTGGTGGACGGGAAATAATTTCTGTCTCTGCTCTAACACAGACTGTGCTTAGAGAACTCAGCTCGCTCTTACTGGGGAAAATTGAGGTGACTACCACATACCTCCTCCAGGCACGCAAGAGGCGATGGCAGTCATATAGGTGAAAAACCAAGCCAAACCAAAACAAAAACCCACAAACTCAAATTGAAATCCCAGAGGGAGAACTTCAAGATCTACTAGTGGCAGAGCAAACTTGGCAGACCACCTAGCTCCAGTACAACGGGATCTGGTGGTCCTGCCGTAATAGAGTAGCGGAGAGATTGGTGAGGAAGAGATCAAGAAAACGATCTCTGCACAACTGTTTGGTCTATCTGAGAAGGTTCACAGAAATCTAAGTGCATCATAGCTGAGGTCTCTGCCATACCTTGAATTTGACCCTCCTCTCCTCAAATCCGTACTCCTCCTCCTGGCAACCTTTCTTTGGAGGCTTCTGAAAGGTGCTTTTAGGAGACTCAGGAAGCTCAGGGGCAGCTTGTCTGAAGCTGAGGCATTGAGGTGTCCTATTTTATTGTATGTGCTCTGCACACATGAGCAGCACAGGAAATGCACTGGTCAAAAAAAAAAAAAAAAAAGATTAAAAAAAAAGAAAAGAAAAAGTAGGGCAGACCTTCACCTCGCTGGTATAGACTTGGCTGGATGACATTCAGCAGTGCAGTCCCACGTTGTCCTCCAGTGACTCTGTGACGGGCGCTGACTGCTCTGTGCTGTCTCTTCCACTCAGATACAATAACTCCCAGTGCCCGGGCAGCCAGGGCCACTTCTCCTTTCACAAAGCAGGACACATCCCCACACAGTTGTTTGGTTGCTTCTTTATTAAGTGGTGCTTGGGCCTGCCCAGCTCAGTGCTTTCAAAAGAGGCTGCGAGCAAGCAGCCACGCTGCTCTTTCGAGAGCAAAGCCTGTGACACTCGCCGAGTCTTTGGCCATAAATGATTCCCCTGGCAAAYTGCACATCCAACAGCACCGTGCTGTTCTTACCAGTCAGATAAGCTGTGGCATGGAACYACTGGGGGTCTTTTTCCCTGATCAAGGGCCAGATACATGAGATGGAAARTCAATGGGAAGCACAACCACCTCCCCAGTGCCCTGGCTTCATGGGAACCAGGATCGGAACAAGGCGGGTTGCTCCTGTCTGAGCCTTGTAAAATAATTAAGTCTCAAATTCTGTCCTCATCAGCTTTGTTGCCAGAGTGACATAGTCCTCTGCCCTGTTCCACCCTTTTGAAGGTCCCTCATAGTGAACTGAGGGATGATCAGACAAAACAGCCTCCATGAAATTCCTCCTGAATGCCCTCGTGGTTCCATGCACTCTTCCTGGTCYTGTGCAGCCTTCCCGAGGAGATATTTTCTCAGACACATTCCAGGACCTCTRTGGGCAAAGAATGGTTTTTGTGGAGGAGGTTCAGTGTCAGGACATGCCGAAATGATGCATTCTCCAAGGAGAAATGGTTTGGGCTTTGATTTGTTTTCCTTTGTGATGTTTTAACCAGAGCTTTTCTCAACAGTCACAGACACATCTGAAAGGGAAAGAAGCCCTTGTGAGGCATCTACGAGCAAAGCTCCAGGGGGACAGGAAGGGCSCTCAGGAAGGAGGCAGCTGGCCGGAGAATCACCCTGCAGCGTCCCGTGCAGCAGAGCCAGGACAGGCCCCTGTGCCGGGTTTCAAGGCCGAGTCACCTCCTGAGCCCCCCTGGACCAGGAGAGCCAATGTCACCAAAGCCCCTTCATCTCGCRGCAAAGGCCACAACGAGGGACAGACTTTGCCTGCACCTCCCTTTGGTGAGAAGCCAGCGTGGGTTACACCACTGAAGAAGGGGATTGCTCAAGAGGCCGGTTTCCCCCCAGCCACTGCAAAATCAGGAAGAAAAGAGTCCTTGAACAAGGACATTGGAGCCATCTCAGATCCTCCCCAGAGAAGCCCAGCCCTGCAGAAATGGCCACTTGTCAAAGACAAAGGGGCTCCAAGAGTTCCAGCCAAAGGAGCAGCYGTTCTCGCTTCCCTGAATGCTCCGGGAAGCAGTCAGGAGACGAGACATCCTGCTGTGCCTCGGAGGAAGCCTTTGCCAGATGTGAAGGCCCTGGGAGCAAGGCCAGCCAAGCCCAGGCGCCCTCCTCTTGTGGATCTGGAGAAGTTCAGAGCAGCTGCATGTGCTGGGGATGGCCGTCCTGCCACAGGACCCTTGAGGAACACTAAGCCAAGTATGGCCAGGAACCTCAAATCCCCCTGAAAAGGCAAACCCGGGAAGGAAGAACAGCCCAGTTAGGGTCTGGAGCTCCTGGCWGATAGAAATAAGAGAGGAGGTTTCAGTGGGTGGTAATGGCAAAGGGAGCTTTATGCACTTAGCATGTGGAAATACACCTGGGTTTGTTTAACTGGGAGGAAAGAGGGCAAATGGGAGATCCTCTTGACCTTGCCGTAACCGTAGGGTCCATCTCCAAGCAATGCACGAGCGGAGTTTGCTGACTTCTCTTACTGCAGGATCTCAGCATCTCGCATTGAACCACATGGTAGCATGTGAGGCAGAATGGTGCTGCTCTCCCTACGGAGAAACCAAGGCTCAGAAAGAAAGCCTGGCTTGTTCAGGGGCAGAAAAACAGTAGCACCCCTAAACGCATGCAAATGCCCTGRAATTGCACTGATTCTGGTACAGCTCTGGATTTGGAGCATTCACCACATTCCAAATACCCCCCTGAGCCTCTATACCTGCCACTTCCTCACTGGTCCTGGGAGAAAAGAACATTAAGGGTGTGGGGATRTGTCTGTTAAAGCTCCTCACTGAGCTCCCCAAGGTTCCCGAGTACAGAAATGGAAGGAAAATCCCCCTAGGATTCAGGCCTGTAGTTTAATCACCTGGCCTTGCTCTGCACAAAATCTAGCCCAGGGAGGCTCTGAGCTTCAGAACAAGTTATAGAGCAGAGGAGAAGACTTGAAATAATCTCTTGTGACTCCTTCCCATTTCTCTCTTCACCACAGGTTACCTGAAACCAGGTAAAACTGCATCAGYTGCAGCACGGCTCCCACCACAGAGCACTCCAGGGTTAACAGGGTAGGTGGCAAGGTAGCATTTGTATTTCAGTTGCTCTCTCTGTGCTATCTCGGGTTTTCCTGCTTACTTTTAGAGCCCAGCTTGAGTTAACCAGTGCAGAGCGCTGTTATTCCATGTGATTTAGATTTGCGCAAGCAGGAAAGACAGAGCTAAGAACTGGGGCTCAAACCTCTGATCCTCCACTCTGTAGAYGAGCTTTAGTGGAGCACCAGCTTGGCAGGATCATGCCCATGTACATGGCATATGTCATGCAGGCTTGGCTGCATCTTCATGATGATCCAGTTTCCTAATGGCAGTTTCCCACTGCTCCAGGGAAGAAGAGGAGATATATGATGATGTGGAGCCTGTCGGACTGCTTGGGAGAAGCCAAGGGTTTCCACTTCCCACTGTGTCCCAACCCCCGGCGTATTCCCGCTCTGGAGGAGGTAGGTACAGAAGGGGCTGGGAATCAGAAAGCCCCAAGCCCTTTTGACCCTAGGAAGCCAGCACAGCAGATGCTATAAACCAGCTGYTCCCAGCATGTTCTCACATCCCTGGATTTCATCTGTTCCCTCCTTGGATTTCATTTTGCAGGTAGAGATGCCAGTCTGGCCTCTAACAAGRTTGCCATGATGCCAACTGCACCGAGGTAAGAGGTTTTTGTTGATTTTGTGGGCCCAAATTTGCCAGGAAATCAGGACTCATTGCCAGTTTGCTGTGCTGTGGCAAAGCTGGAGGTTCAGTGGTCCTTTCTGGACTTGCCCTGTGGTGTTGTGAGACATCCCAGGACAGGCAGGATTAAACCTGAACTGCGAGCATAGCATTGTAGAGGGGAGCACCTTTGGGTGCTGGGGGAGACCCAGTGCAAAGGAAATGAAACAGGACAGGACAACAGCGTAGGAAGAAGGGGACAGGAGGGAGTGGAGAGCTGTGGTTCCCTGACCTTTCCTGTGACTCTCAACGACTTCACAGAGAAGCCCAGGTTTTTCAGAGGCCGAAGATGATGACACTTAAGGAATGCAAGAAGGAAGAGAAGGCAGACAGGGAGTTTCAGAAGAAATTCAAGGTGAGCAGGAATGGTTTCTTACCCCTCTAAGCTCACCCTCACCTTCAAATTCAGGGGTGAAATTCCTCATTGTGAGGCCAGTGGTGGATCCATGGCATCCAAGGTCTGGGCCTCAGTTGCCAAGAGGCCATAACAGCCCTCAGGACTCCCCCTGAATGCCAGCAAGGGGAGAGGGGGAATTCTCACTTCCTTACTGGATTGTGCTCCCTGCAATGATGTGAGGAAGCCCTGAACACCCTGGTGCAATGGGGTTTTCTGCACTCCCAGCTCAACAACAGCCTCCCTTCTTCCCCTACAGCCTGCCAGTGGCAGGGGGAACTTGCCCCATTCCCCCCTGAAGCTCCCCTAAATAAATCTGGTCCCATAGGACCTTCTGCAGAAGAGGAATCTGCTTGTTTTGCAAGAAGGGAAAGTGATGGGAGCTGCCTGAGCTCTTGCCAGGGTAATAGCAAGGCTGTCTGTGTTCCAGTTCGGCGGAGACATTCGTGTCCTGACACAAATGATGGTGGACCCTGCAGCAACAGAGAAGAGAGGCGGAGGAAAGAACCTCCCCCTCAGACGAGGAGAAATTCTAGATGTCATCCAGTTTACGAAYGAGGAGCAAATCCTGTGCCGAAACAGCCAGAGGAGATGTACGTCCAGGGTGGCTGGGACGTGGTGAGGGTGGGCAGCACCGGTCACAGTTGCCAAACAGTTGCTGGTAGAAATGTCTTTCTTCACACACACACGTCGATGGCTCTGATAGACGGGAGGGGACATCGCCTTGCTGTTAGAAGGGACTCACCATTTATCCCCCTCGTGCCCCTTCTTCTGGCACGTCCTGACATCCTTTTCATTGCTCTTTTCTAGATGGCTACGTGCCTCGGGCCGTGATGCTGCGCCTGTGAGTATCCCCTTCCCCAGCCCCTTCCTCCCGTTGCGGCAGATGTAGTGATTGCCTCGTGTCCAGTGATGGAGATGAGAGGAGCAAAGAAAACAGCAATGAGAAACAGGGTCGGGACACGAGGGAGATGTAGGAGATGAGCTGACCCTTGCCTGGGTGGTGGCAGGTGGTGGCAGCATCCCCAAGGGTGCCCAGGCTCCTCATGACGCCGTGTTCTTTCTCCTCGCAGGGACACGGACATCTACGATGACGTTGAGATTTACGGTAGGTGTAGCAGCGAGTTGCCCCCTYGGCTCCTTGTGGGGGCTGGAGCTGCCTGCCCGAGGTCCGAGCACTGCTCCCTCTGCACAGGGAAGGCAGCAGAGCTACTCTGAGCTCATCCTGGGCCCTCCCGAGTCCAACGGGCACTGGGTTTCCTGCTCAGAGCAGGAGGAGATCACACGGGTAATGGCCCCTTCCCCAGGCAAGCACCCCAAGAGGCAGCACCAGACTCACTTCCTGTCCCATTGCCACATCCCAGGCTGTCCTCTCTTGGGAGCTGTGTTTTCCATGATTTCCTCAGTCTCCCCCTTTCTCTGGGACATCACTTTCTGTCCCYTGGTTCCTCAGAGGCTCTCACTTCCTCCCTTCCCAATGATTAAGGCTTCCCCATACCATTTCCCTTCTCATCTGGCTCCCTGCACTTGATCCCCAGCCCATTGGGACTCCTTTGAGGTGTCCCCGATCCTAGGGCTGCCCTTCCCAGAGCAGCTGCTGACTCCTGGGATGGGAACTCCCTCCCTTGTGATGCAAACAGCTCTGAAGATGGAGCTAAGTGTATTTGAACTGTCACAACAAACAAATATATTTAACTATTTCTGGCTGGCAGGTTGAACAATCCATGCTAAAGCAAAAGCCGTGAGACATCAGCAACACAGAGACTTCTACGAGAGCCTAAACACGGATGGAAAGCCCTGTGTGCCGTCTCCTGCTGCCTTGGACACAGCCCCCCACCATGACCGTGTCCTTGCCAAGGCACTGGGAATACTCGCCATTCCTCAAGGATCTTCTCTCYCCCACAGAGCAAGCAGCCAGGGGGTTGAAAGTGATATTTAAATCCAGCTATCTTCTCTGTGGCTGCATTTTGTCTGTGTAAAATATGGCAATGATTTGAAAGGGTTTCATGGGAATAATTTGTGATTTTTTTTTTTTTTTCTGTTTTTAAAATGCTTCTTGTGCTGGAAAAGGGCAGATATCACCACRGTGAGGTTTCAGTGCCAGCACTAGAGATGTGATTACCACGGAGATATAAATAAAAGAAAGCAGTTAGAAGGAAAGACACTTTCAAAAAGCAGTTTTCCTTTTGCAAAGTCTCCTTAGAAGGGCCAAGCTCAGCCCTTGTGCTGACCGGGAGGTTACAGGGGTGGGAACATAAATTCTCCGGTGGCCACAGAGAGGATCCAGAACCTCTCAGACCAGGAATCCCAAAGCGACGGGATCCCTGGCTCTGATTCCTGCCTGCGGTGCTGGGGATGCGGCGCAGCTGGCGAGGGTTAACCCGGAGCCTCCAGTGCYGCCTTTCATGCAGCTCACTAGAAAGCCAAGCCCAGATTAAGCAGTCCAGGACGTCACTGCCCATTAGGGTCCCCAAATAGCAGTGCGGGGATTAGGCGCCAGGTGCTCGGCTCCAGCTCCGGCGCCTCCCCGAGCACAGGGCAGCGTTGGCGGAGCCGGTGCCGGAGCRATGAGCCAGCCCGGTGGCACCGGCGCTGTCAGCGGCACCGAGGGGCCCCTTCTGCACGGCTGAGGATCATGTGGGAGCGCTTCAAGAAAGCCCTGCTCAACTCGCTGTCCACGCACTTCCTCGCCGCCTGCGCCCGCGTACGGGCCTTCTGGCGCAAAAATGGCCTCTTGACGCTCTCCATGCTCTCGGTCGTCACCGGGTGCCTCCTGGGATTCCTGCTGCGCACTCTGGAGCTGACGGAGCTGGTAAGGGAGATGGCGCTGGGGACAGGAGCGAGCGTCGCAGTGCGGAGCGGGGGGACCCCAGTCCCCATGCGGGTGGGCACAGCTCTGTGTTTGGCCTGAGGAATCCAGAGCACATCCCGCTGCTGAGCCGTGGGTGAAGGAGTGGTGCCCGCTGGATCCCGGGGCTGAAGGAGCCTCCAGGGAGGGACAGTGATGGGAAAGGGGGGTCAGGAGCAAAATCCAACCCCTGGGCAAAGCAGCGTCCCCAGGGATGATGCAGGGGGCATGGGATAAAGCAACGCGCCCAACGAAAGCCCCTGGAAAAGCAGCACAAAATAAAATAAATAGGGTCCCAAGAGAGTGACAGATTGCAGGTTTCCCAGGCTCTTGGAGACCAGTTCATTGGAGACAAGGAAACGGCCGGCACAAAACACGTCCCAGGAGCACTGCCCTGCTCCGTGTCACCGCACTGAATGCAGGTGGCTTTARCGGCCCCGAGCTCCTCCCTGCGCTCCCCGCTGCAGCGCGAGCTCGGCGGGCGCCGGGACATCTCCTTCTAATCAGGAGGATTTAGGAAGGTCTTGTCACTTCAATTATGAGTTTGGGGCCTCAGCGCGCGGAGCAGAGGTGATTCTGTTACCTAAGCAAAGGACGTAACCTCCCTGGCGGCTGGTGCCCACGTGAGCCGCGGYGGCCGCCTGCGCTGCTCCTGGAGCAAGCGACCGAGCCGGGAGCAACCTGGGGCTCCTGCCATCACCTGCCCCGTGTGCCCGTCCTCGTACCCACCTTGTGGCAGGCCCTGCAGCCCGTTCCTTGCACGCACTGAGCTCTCGCCCTCGCCTGCTTCCCAATCCCTGTCCAAACCCCTCTGTCAGCATCTCCTCTGGTTGCACCGGGATGGGACAGCCCAGGCTGGGACATTCCCCAGGCCCTGGCCAAGCCTCAGGTTGACATCGTGAGGACCAGAGGGTGTTCCGAGAAAGGCTGATTTGTCACCTTTGAACCCTSAACCCCAAGTCAGTGTCATTCGCARMCGCTGCCTTGATGCAACTGCTGTTTTGTGCACAGGAAAGGCAGTATTTTTCCTTCCCGGGAGAGCTCCTCATGAGGATGCTGAAGATGCTGATCCTGCCCCTCATCACCTCAAGGTAAGGTGTGCTCCTCTGCTTCCCAAGGGCCYGTTTGCCGTCGTGTTGGGGGAATCCTGCTTCCCTTCTCCAGACTCTCCTTCTCCAAGGTCTCTGCAAGGGCCCGTCTTRGTCTCGGCCACCGCTCTGGGGTTGTATCTGGTGGAGCTACATGGTGCTCGGAGCAGCCCAGGAGGGCACATTCCTTCCTCCACACCACCATGGCCTCCTGCAGGACGTTTATGGCTGTGCACTGATACTAGGCACAAAGGTGCCCCAGGATGGATARAATCCAGGACGGATTTATGGTGGTGCATCCTGGGAGAAGCAGGGGGACACGTCCCTACGAGGGGAAATCCAGATTGACGAGCAGTGACATCATCCCTGCTGAAAAAGACTGCTGAAAGGCTGAAGAAGTTAGTGTAGCGACRTCCACCACTTTGTCCCACTCAAACAGGCGGCTGCAGCAGGGGTCTGTGGCTGYTGCCACCACCGAGGCTGCTCGGGACCACCACGGTCCCACCACCGGTTGGGTTGGTCCCAACCACCACCACCATGATCCCATCACCACCATGGTCGGCCCATTACCACGGTAGCGGTCCCACCACCATGGTCCCACGAGCACCATAGTCGTCCCACCACCATGGTCCCACCACCACTGTGGCTCCACACCGCAGCCAGCCAATGCTCCCGTTCGCTGTGAGCACCACCAGCACACAGCCATGCTGCTGTGACTACAGACTGGTGGCCTGTAATTCCCTCTCTATTTTTAGCCCAGTTTTGTTCAAAAGTAGCTTATGGGCTAGTTCTTAGGGGAGCTTATGCGTACGTGAAGTCCGAACCAGCCGCTCGCTCTTATCATGGGGAAGTTGGGTCAATAGAGACACACGGCTGCAGCTTTAGTGCATGAGAAGTTTAAACAGACAACGTCACACAGCACAAGAAGAGCATTAGTTATTCACCAGCAGAATATGATAAGAATATTTACTCGTTATCCCCTGCAAAACAGTAAAAATGACCAGGCCTTATGTGAAGGGACACACAGAGGTCCCATAACATCCCTGCCCGTCCAGAAGTGCGGGGGCAGCCAGCCGGGTCCTACAGAGAGCTGCTACCAAGGCACACAAACGCACCAGAGCTTCGGGATACCTGGAAGCACCAGCAAAAGGAGCTATGGAAACTGGGTGCGTGTTGGAGACTGTGCTCTAGGTGACCCTGCGTGTGCAGGGGGTTGGACTAGATGGCCTCTGCAGGTCCCTTCCAACCTCAACCCTTCTATGATTCTATGATCTGGTCCATCAGGTGCATCTCGGGAGCAGATGCCAACCATGAGTTTTCCTTTCCAGCCTCATGTCCGGGCTGGCCACCATGGACTCCAAGGCCTGTGGGAAGATGGGAGTGATCACAATTACCTACTATCTCTGGACAACCTTCTTGGCTGTGACCATTGGGATCATCCTCGTGGTCAGCATCCACCCTGGTGCGGCGGCCCAGAAGGAGGAGTATTCCGTGGGGAAAGTGGTGCTTAGCTCTGCYGATGCTCTCCTGGATCTAATCAGGTACGTTGTCAGGGAGGAACCTGGRTTTTATAGGTTGATCGTGTCTCACAGCCAAGATCTGCTCGCAAGGCAGCAAGTTCACTGGGGCTATTGATATCTCAAGGGAAACGTGAGAACTGTTGGCTACACTGAGCATGGAGCTTCTTCTCTGCAGCCCTGGGGTTCCTTGAGCTTTGCAAGGTGCAAATGAGTGGGTTGGCCTGGAATAAAGCTCTAGAAGTGAACTGGTGTTAGCTGGTAACCGTGGGGCCGCCCTGGGGTAGGGAGAATCTCCGTTTCTGGAGATGTTTGGACTCCAGACAAGGCTTTGAGCAACCTGCACTAGCTCTGCAGCTGGTTGGAGATACCAGGCATCCTTTCCAGCCTCTGCCTTTTGGTGAATTCAATGCACATATGTGATCCCTTGTCCTGCTCGTCGCTTGCAGAGTGGCCTTACGGTCCTCTTGGCCCCTCATTCATCCCAGGAGCTTCCCAGGGATAACCTCTGTTTTAACCTCTCCACAATTACTCTCTTACAGGAACATGTTTCCTTCCAATCTCATCGAAGCTTCATTCCAGCAGGTGAGTCAGGGGCTCCAGGGCCTCCATCACCTCATAGCTCTGGAGATGCTGGGWTGGGTCTTGGCTCCGGACCAGGCTGCTGACCCAGAGCCTGGCCACGAGTCCCTTTCCTTCCCCTGWCCCTCTTCCAGCCTTGATGACTGTCCCAGCTGCTCCCAGGGCTGGGGAGCCCCAATGGATGGGCACATGGGGGTTGTTGGCCATGATGGCATCCCTGGGGGTCATTGAGGCACAGGCCACCCCTGCCTGCCCTCCATCCGGAAAAGTCACTGGTTATCACTGAAAAGCGAGCGTTGGACCTCCAGGACCATTGGGTGGCTCGTGGCGGTGTTCCCACTGAATTTAAAGCAAGATGGAGTCTGTTGCCAGCAGGACATTGACTTCACGTGTTTCTTTTTGTTCCAGTACCGAACTGTCCTTGTGCCGGTGGTGAAGGCTCCAGGGCTTCCAAAGATCCCCAGGAAATCCATCAATTTTATTTACTTTGCACCTGACGACGCAAACCCAGAAATCCATCGGCCGGTGTTCCTGGAGATTACRCCGTCTCCCGAAATGACCTACAGAACCTTGCCTGGGACCAGCAATGAAATGAATGTCTTGGGGATCGTCATCTTCTCAGCAACGATAGGTACCTTCTAAGTGGAGACACTTCATGCTACTCCATGACCAGACTTGCAGGGATATTTAATGGTGGTGGCTGTGGATGGAGAAGGTGGTTTCCTCTCCAGATGTTCCCTATGAGCCTTCATAGCCTGAGTCTGTTTCCTGAGAGCTTAAAAATATTATAAACACAGACATTTATATCAGATCTTAATGCAGAAAAAAAGCAGTTTGCACAAGGTGCTGGGCAGCAATTTAAGAGCGGAGAGATCAAGTGAAAGGTACAGGGCTGAAAGGCAGAATTACTGGAAGCAGGAATTTGGAGGTGACTCAAAGCACGGGCTACAATCACTAGGGGCAGAGCCGAGTGAGCCTGAGAGGAACAGAGGAGCCAGGAGAGAAAGAGTAGGAGGAAATCAGATTACAGCGGGGGCAAGATTACGTGAAGCTTAAGAGGTGAGGGCAAGGATCTTGAATTTAGTGTGCGAGGAGCCAAAAAGCTAATTAGAGGATTTAGCAGAGAGAGGTAGTGCAGCTCGAAGAGCAACGKAGAAAACCTCTGGGACGTGTGGGGTGGCCATGGGGCACAGAGGAGATCGCCCGCGGTTAGCAGCTGCGATGAGGAAGATGAAGCGAAGCCAAGGGCAGAGGCAGCCCTGCTGGAAGATGCTGGAAGATGCAACGAGTTGCCCGGGTGACCCCTTGTCCCCATGAGCATCCGCTGCTGTCGCCATCTCTCCGCAGGGCCTGAGCCTCCCGAGCGCAGAGCACGTGTCCTGCTCCGGCCCAAGGAGAAGCCGCTTTGCTCTTCCGCGATTATCATCGTGACGGTGTGGGTGTTGAGCTCAGGGCTTCCTAACTTAGCAGAAAATCACCTGCAGCAGCCCCGGCCGCCACGGGAACTCTCTGCTGCTTTTGCYCCCAAAGGATTAGGGAGCTTCTGGGCTGCTGGGATCGGGCACTGCTGGAGCAATAGACGTGTTCGGAAAGGAGCATCCACGTGTGGCAGGGGCAGGTTAGTCTGGCATTAGCAAAAGACACCTCGGCCTCTCCTACAAGTCACTGTGTCCATACTTAGGAGCAGCGAGGAGTTTAYTGGTTATCTGCCCAAGGGGTTTGGAGAAAGGGCCAGACGTGGAGCAGAGCCGGCCGGTGGAGTTGGAGCTCTCCCAGATTTTACCGCATTCCTCTTCTTTTTGTTCTTATTGTTTGCGGGTTGTCTTCACTGGGGTTAACACAACTCACGTGCCTTGAGTGTTGTCCTGACACCGGCTTTTACGCACCAAGATCTTTAGCCCAGACTAGGGCCCATTCTTCTCCTTTGTACAGCATTGTACCAGTGGGGCTGCCTGCTGCCGCAACGCTGCTCTAATTCCTGCGATTCGTAAGGTATTTCCACAAACGCCTTACAAAATTTTTCTTGAACTTGTCGATGTAAAGATGGACCTCCTGCAAGTTTGCAAGGCTGAGCCCTGTGATTTCCTACTGTTTACTAACGTGAATCCGTGTGTTTGGTTGCAGGGCTTCTCTTGGGAAAAATGGGCGAGCGAGGAGCTCCGCTGGTGAACGTGTGCCAGTGCCTCAACGAGGCCGTCATGAAGATYGTCTCCATGGCCGTCTGGTAAAGCTGCTCCTGGCCGTGCACCCAAGCCACCTCCTACCTGCTAATGAACACCACCGCCATTAAAGAGAAGTGCTGGCAAATCGAAACTCATTCCAGAATTCCTAACCTTCGAGGACTTGATTTTGCAATTTGTGTATTCTTTTAAAAGAGTGTATTTTGACTAGAAACTTTTAGGGCACGCATCTTGAAGAATATCTATTTTGGATTTATTTTTGAATGATTACACTGCACCAAGTGATTCAATGACGTTAGCATCCTCACAAATGACTTCTTCTTTTCCTTGCAGGTACTTCCCTTTTGGCATCGTGTTTCTCATAGCTGGGAAGATACTGGATATGGAAGATCCCTCTGTTACAGGAAAGAAGCTGGGCCTGTATGCCATTACCGTGGTGTCCGGGCTGGCCGTCCACGGACTTGTCCTCTTACCTTTGCTCTTCACACTCATTACTAAGAAAAACCCCTTTGCTTTCATTCGGGGGATATTGCAAGCCTTGCTGATTGCCTTAGCTACGTCTTCCAGGTATGAATATAAGGTGGCCTCTATTTATCACCTGAGAATTRATCCAGTTTAGCTTAGTGCATTCCAAGCTCTCCCAACACAAAGTTTTATCTTTTTTCTAACCGTAACCATTATAAACATATAACGATAAAAGATTACTGGGCAATCTTGTCCCAGACTTGGGTCTTTGTCTCCTTACTCTGAAGCACAAGGGCCTTGCAGAGACACCCAAGTAACCCAGCACTTTCGCAGTTTTCAGGTCAGATTTGTCTGAAAACGGAAGACTCTGCTGCTTTTCAGATTGCACCCAAAGAGTGCAATCTTCTGTCCTCCCTCTGCCCTTCACAAACCAGATTCATCTTCTTGTYTGCCATCTAACCACATCAGCTCCCTGCTGGCCTTGGAGAACTTCTCTTACCAAAGGACAGGCTCTGCTTGCTGCTTTTTCTCTAGGAACCACCTTTTTCAAACGGCTGCTCTCCAAAGCACAGAGCTCCGGAGTCTCCTGGCCAAGCCCAGTGGCCAGTGCAGTTTTCCGCAGGGCCACTGCTGGGACAGCAGGTTTCCCTGCTCCAACGCGCTGTCCCTAGGACAGCTGTGGCTTTGGAGCCAGCTGGGTGAGCTGGAGAGCTGYTCATGTAGAGCCCAGTGGGAAAACCAGGCACCTCGTCGCAGTCCTGGGCTCTGTGGACAGGCCCCAYGCGGGGACCACGAGCTGCTGCTCTGTTACACGTGTGCAGTGAAATGGGAAGATGGTTGCACGTAATCCCATTTTTTCCGAGCTCTTTTCTTCCCTCTTGTCTTGGCCCGTCCGTTTTCTACTCCTGACTCCTGTTACCTCTCATGCATCTTCTTGCTGGAAAGAAACAAGGAAGAAGGTCAGTGGGGAACCAGGGCCGAGGCAGCTACTACGACCTGCTTGTAGCATGCAGGAGACAAAGCAGAGATGAAGGAATCTGGGTGGAACACCAGCATCGTCAACACTGGCAAATTCTGCCTGTGCCAACAGTCAGGGGGTTGCTGGATTAGCTTGGGGAACAGGGATGTGCAACCAGCAGCTGTAACCAGCACGCAAAGTTTCTGTCTAGCCATCTCCTTGAATGCCAATGTGGCATTTTGGGTGGTTATCTTGTAAATATGATGGAAATGAGCAGATTTGTTACACCRAGTTCCCAACGAGGCATCGCTTGACTAAATTACAAGTGTTCCCCTGTAGCACCAGGTGAAGATACCTCCTTTCTTTGCCAGAGCAACTTGCTTTAACATCGTTGCTGCACTCAATCCCAAGGGAACCTCTATTTCTGTAGTTAGGTTGATGTCTACTAACCAGCTGTTAGAGCTGCTCCGCACAAAACACACAAGGGAAAGACTCACCGTCTCTTGCCCCGCAGCTCAGCAACCTTGCCCATCACTCTGAAGTGTCTTCTGGAGAACAACGGGATAGACAGACGAGTGGCACGGTTCGTCCTTCCCGTTGGCGCGACCATAAATATGGACGGCACTGCGCTCTACGAAGCGGTCGCTGCTATTTTTATTGCTCAGGTTAATGAATATGATTTGGATTTGGGACAAATTATAACTATCAGGTAATTTCTTTTTTTTTTTTTTTTTCCTGCATCTGTGCTGCTTTTCCCTAATCACACTGACAGACATTTCTACAACATCTCACGAATTTCCTACTTAGCAGAGATCTTTTGACAGCACATTCCAAGTTATCCTTGTTGGAAAGCTGAAGAGTAGGGAAAGCGGCAGCGTAATATGAGCTTTTTAATACCATACATTCCTGCTCTGCTCCCAAACAGCGCTTGCATGAGCGTTCACGAGAGGAGAAACCCTTCCAGCTCAGCAAAACATCCCAGCTCACCCAATTAYTGGATATTAGATCAACCTAATGAACTCTTATTCCCAGGCCTTCACTATGCCATGCAAACCACGCCCTTGAACAAGCTGGTGACAATGTGRTGACAATAATTCTTATCCCTGCAGCATAACAGCAACCGCAGCCAGCATTGGTGCCGCYGGGATCCCCCAGTCGGGGCTCGTCACCATGGTCATCGTGCTCACCTCTGTTGGGCTGCCAACCGATGACATTACGCTCATCATCGCCGTAGACTGGGCTCTGTAAGTAGCCATACACACTGCTAACGATGCGGGCTAAGTGACTGCTATTAATGCTTATGTTTATTGATTTCCCAAAGCAGTTCTAAAGGAGCAAGGCTTCCCCAAAAGGCAGCACAAAGATGAGTGTGAACTGCCTTAATACTGGGTTCAGAAACTCCACCATCTGTCTGCATTGGCACAGGGCTGTACTTAGCTTGCTGTTAGCTAAAAGAGTGACAGGGACACTGGGGACAAACGCTCAGAGGTTCCAAAGCCATCACAGATCACGGCTGCCTCCATCTCATCGCTCTTTCTTCTAGGGACCGATTTCGAACCATGACCAACGTCCTTGGCGATGCACTGGCCGCTGGTATCATAGCACATGTCTGTGAGAAAGACTTTGCCCCCAAGCCCCCAAAAGTACGTACAGCTTGTCTGGGAGAGTGAAACACAGAAGATACTAAGATTATAAACAGAAACAACGCATAGGCTCACTGAAGAAATTAAAATTGCTTTTTTTTTCTCGTTACAGCAAGATCCAGCCAGCAGCACAGACAAGTTTCCGTCTGTGGAGATCTCGCTTCTGCAGCCCAAAGATAACGTGATTGAAATGATTGAAGAAACCTTGGCCGAGCAGACAGGAATTCACTATAACATCTGTCAGGTGTAGGTCGCAGCCACCTCACTCCTGGGAAAGGGATTTTGGTGCTAAAATACTGACATTMTGAATGTCATATATGGATGCTCTGTAAGAGGAAAGCCTTACTTAGTGTGTGCGCACACACAAAAAACAAACAACAAGAAAAGAAAGGAAGAAAGGAAGAAAGAAAAGGACTCGCATGCTACAAAGATCACACCGATAGCAAGGGAGAAAATGCAGCCAACTGCTGTTGTAAACTGAGGATACATCTGGAACTTGTTGCCCTGCCTGAAGCAGCTGGGTTTTGAAGGTTTTATGCCCCTAATTTTTCAAGCATAGCTCTAAGGTCAGAAAAATCTGCAGCTAACAGAAAACGTGAACTGGACAAGATGAAGTAGTGGTAGAGGAGTCAAAAAACGGACACCTTACGGCAGCAACCTGTCTCTGCTGTCTGGACTGCGTTCTGGGATACTTTATTTTCTTTAATACAGAGCTTTTTTTAAGCCATTGCTTTTTTCTAGTGGGATGTCACCTAAAAACTAAAATCCCAAGTATATTTTTGGTCTATTGTTTAACATTAACTTTGGACACAACTGTATTTTCTAGCCAATGCACAAAAATAGAAGGACAGTTGATTGAAATGTTTCTCTTAATGACAGTCATTGATTCTCTAGATGTACTGCAACTGCGACGACTTTCCCAGCTAAGGATCTGTCCCTATGTTTAAACTCTTGCTCCAAATATAGCCTTAAAATATATGTTTCCAAACACAAGCTTCTCCACAATGGCCTTTTACAGAAGGGATCTCATCTACTTTGCCCCATTATGCCACAGTAAAACATCTGCAAGTAGCTTAAATTCCCACTAACACCACTAGCTTCCTCCTAAAAGAACTACTCTTGACCAAACCAATTGAGTTTTTTTCCCCTAAAATGTCATCTTCTCAGCTGACATCACAAAATTTCATAGTAAGTGGTATTTCAACATAAACAAATGTTAAAAATGCCTCCCAGAAAGCTAAGGAATAGCATCCTCCCAGCTGCCTACCTCCCATTCAACTTTCTCTGCTCCTTCTTTTAAAGCCAGTCCCACCCTAAATTTTGTGTACTTATAATAATTACTCAGATTTGTTTAATGCTTTATGCGATAACCATATCAAGCACCTTGCAGAAATGCTTTCTCTTAATAGTTGCTTTGGTTTAATCAAGGCATTCAGCTGACATTAAGTACTCAAAATATGTCTGTTTGGAGGGCAATGCCACTCTAAGCAGTTCCATGCTCAGCTGTTTGATCCCATCTTTGAACTCCCMCTTTAATAGCTCTGAAATAAGTATCTCTAGAACTAAATGGCAAATAGATCCAAGAACAGGACTAGGTTAAAAGACCCTGTTGTCATAGGGCTTAAAGAAAAAATGGATTAGTTCATTAGTCTGTTCTTTATGCCCCTATCCCAACAGTTATATCTACACCAAGGTACAACTCTGTGTATACACCTATACACAAAGACTATGACAGTTGAGGGTTGGTACAAGAAGCTGAAGATTGAGGAGCTAGAAGTGACACCATCACCTAGGATGACACTCACCTTCCTCAGTGAGCAAAGTGGTAAGTGATAAAATGGGTTAGATTTCCCACTTGATCAAGATTGTACCCCGAGTAACAGACACGGGGCAYGGCCGCTAACACCCCTACACAGACACAAGTTCCACTGGTTGSCCCAGCATCACTCACTTATTTTCTGCAGCTGTGTTCCACAGATTACACCAGACTACCTTAATTCAACAAATCAAAAGAAAATGTCTGCCTTTTCCCCTTTTTGGATATAGCCTTAAAGGAATCAGAGGGCCCTAGCTTGTATTATTGCCTCACCCCAAAGGAGAATGCACATAGCACAGGAACCAGGCAATGTGATACCGTGGCAGMGGAGAACAGAGCTGTTAATCCTGCTGTGGTCAGTATTTGTGACACAGAGAGGCTGAATTCAGGTCAAACATTCCTTCCTCAAGGCCACTGGCAGCCCAAACGTGCCCAGCTGAGGGTGGGAGGAAAGCAGGCAGCTTCAAAGCAGCATTCTAGCAAGACAGGGCTGCCTTGTCTGGAAGCATCCACAGAGAAGTGCTCAAGTAGCAAAACACCCAAATTGGAAGGCACCCAAGTGACAGGAGACACAAAGACATCAAGTAGACAGTACAGCAGCACCTCACTATAAACCTTCGTCTGGGCTCGGTCAGAAAAGAAGCACTTAAGACACACGGGCAAAGCCTCAACACATTTTATCTAGCACAAGCAGCCAGGAATTCTGCTCTGGGATCCAATGATGAGGTGAGGAGAGTGAGGACTGGATGGCATGCCCGGGCAATCAGGTTGTGTGCCTTGGCATACGAGGTCAATCACTGCCATTTCATTAGCCACAGTCCGTTTTGAAGCTGAGTTGTTTTCCTCCATTCCTGTAGTAAGAAAGGATTGAAACGTTAAGGCCTATGAAGTAGAGTAAAACTAGAAAGGGTTAAAAAAAATGACTCAAAAAAAAAAAGAAATGGAAGTAGCTTTTTAAATTGGTGATTCCCAAAGAAATGGCACCATTTTGCCCAGTAGGGAGAAGCAGATAGGAGATGCTCCCTGGAAAGCAGCAAYATTGTGCATTACAGGACTGGTGCTGAAATACCAAGCCATGGAAATGTGTAGAAAGCACAGTTTTCAGTAACTACTTCAAGAAAAGTTTGGAGGAAATCTGAGAGCCAGATTTTTATCCAACTGTAGATTTTAAAAAAATGTTCTATAGCTTGCACATTGTGTTACTGTATTACAGCCAAAAAATTATGACCATTATGAAATTTTGCATGTTTAAAGACAAACACCTTTGGACAAAATACTTCTGTACTGCATTTGTATGTGAATAATATATGTGCATATATAATGCACATATAATACACATGTTACTCAGTACAAATAATTTAGTGATATAAATAGTCTATATACATCTTAATATTTGCATATACAAATGTATACATAAACTAAACAAATACATATATACAGGTGTATGTGTACAGTGTGTCTCTTGAAAGATGCAAAGAATGAACTGCCTGGCACAACCGGGTGAAGTTGGCTATAGAGTCTAAAAAAAAAAAAAAAAAAAAAAAAAAAAAAAAAGCCAAATTTTGGAAGTCTGGCATGCCAGAGACCAAAATCATTTGCAGTGTGACTCTAGAAAAGCACACAGCCTTATACAGGCTTACTTACCATGTAGGCTATAAGACAGCCTTGAAATCCTGCAAGGGTTGAGTGCCCACTCCTTCCGCAGACCTGAGCTGGAGCCTACAGAAGTCTAGGAAAATGAAGCAGCTCAGCACTGTTTATACAGAGTCAAGACTGCTCCTATGCCAAATAATTTCTGCTTTGCTCTCCTTTATGATCTTTCTTTGCAGCATGCACAGGCTGGACTTGGGACAGAATCTGTTCCAACACATTCAAACAGAGTATCAGTTAAAATATATTTTTAAAGTCTACTGCTAGTCAAAGAACTGAGTAAGCCTCAGACCCATTTTTATTAAACCCAGTAAGTGAAGTCTTTAAGTCCTAGCTTAAGTTGAGTTGCTCTTTAATCAGCAATCCAGCTATGCCTCTGCAGAGGAAAAACACAACTCCGAGAAGTTTCACATTCGCAGCATTATATACCATATGTGCTATTCAAACAAACAAACAATACCCCCTGTACTTTAAATGTGTCATTTAAATCAGTTTTATTACAAAGAAAATTATTTACTAATGGGATGCTAGGAGAACTATATTTTGACACTCTAGATTGATTCCCATTGTGCAAAAATCATTGCTTTTATACATAAATACATAAGAAAAGTATGTTGAGCAAAGGAAGAAGCAAACTGTTTCATCCACTTATTTGTGATGTTATGTGTGAAATGTAACCTCTGCTTTTCCTTTCAGCCTCCTGCTAGCCGCAAGTGATGAAAGCAGAAGGCAAGTTAAAGCCACAAAAGGCAGCCTCAAAAACCAGATAAAAATAATTTAAAAAGCAAAAGGAGGAGGAATGATATGGGGATAGGCAAGTCCCATGGGACATCCAATGGCTGTGCACGCTGGGCACGAGGGGAATGARGATGAGACGGTGCCCAGGCTCACGTGTTTTCCTTAAACAGCTTTTCCTATTGCCATGGTTAGGGAAAGAATGAGGAGTTGGATGCACTGTTAATATGACCTAGGAGGATATTTCTAAATACTAGTATTTTTCCAAGGATGTGTGTGGCTTTTATAAATATAATTAAAAGACCGGGAATCAAAGCAAAACACGGGGGAAGGCAGCTGTGCTTCTCTTTATAAAAAGGAAATGTCACATTTTACGCCCAGGTGCAGAGAAAATAAAAACAAAACCACATTTTTTTCCTAGTTTGTTTCCTGAAGTACCTGAGAGTTGGATTTCAATATAGTTTAACCTCTTTATTTGAGAATACTCTGAAAATTAAGTATATAAAAATTAATAGTAGGAACCTCCCACAGAACCCACATTAGAGCAAGTGTTTTGTAAAGGAGTCTAAGGACAAAGTCTCTGTGGAGTCCTGCAAAACCAGAATATCCATTCAGGGATTAATGGGTCCAGACTTTTTTTCTCTTTTTCTTTTGAATAAATCTGACCTTTCTAAGAGGGAAGGCATGCTTCACTTGGGCATATTTTGCTATTAAGCTTTCCGGTCATCTCATCTCTGTGATTTTTCGTATCAGTAGAGCAGAAAAATACAAAGTCTGAATGAACCTATGGACAAGGAATAAAACACAGGAGCAGCATCCTATGGGAGGAAGAATATGGTCTAGGTGTGCCCAAGAAAAGAAATCACGAGGGATCTGAAGTTCTATGCTGCTAATTAAACACTTCTGGTTAGAGTGGCTGCTGCTTACTCGACACACTTTTATACTGGTAGTAACAGAAAATGCCAATTTGTGCTCTTCAGTTCTGCTCCAGCTCTGTGAACAGTGCTGTACTGAGCAATTTTCATAAGATGAAAAATAACTTATTTGGAAAAGCGGCTTTCCGTGTTATCAAGGTATCTGATCTGACCTGGCTTTGCCAGGCATCCAACACTATCATACATGACTCGCTATACGTTCTCCCCCCGTTTCTTTTCTCAGCTAAAATCATCAGGAGTTCAGCAAAATATCAGAGCTAAAGCCTCAAAAGATGTGAGAATTATCACAGCTCAAAGATGGAAGGATGGTTTTTGTGACTAAAGAATAAAACCACTCAAGAGGAGCAGATTTCAGCAAAATCCAGTAAAATGTTGTGTTGGTGAAATAACAAGGGAGTGTTGCTGTGATACTTCAATGCAATCTGTAAACAGACAACAGTAGTTTATAAGGATTCCAATGGCTTTCTTCTCGCTAAAAGGACATAATTTCACGAGCAATTCTCTAACAGGTCACTTATACAACCTTTTCTGAGTCAAAATGTGGGGTCTGTCTTAAATCATCAGAGCTGAAATGGGGATAGAGGCACCAAAATACCCTGCTGCATCTGTGGAGGGTTTCTTGTTTTCCACAATGCTCTTCAAAAGTTTCCAAAGAGCTTTAAGAGTGGGAGTGTACACTTACTTGTTTTGTTTTCTTTCTTAAATCAGAATAAATACTAACATGAGTTAAAAAAAAAAAAAAAACTTCCTGAAAAACAAAGTGCCTTATTTTAATTCCGTCTAATAACGTTACAGATATTATAATTTTTAGTGGGATAAACTGGATTAGCCTATTCATGAATACAGTCAAGATTCTTCTGAAAAAGTCAAATCCCAAACTGTACAATAATAATCCAAGTCCTGTAAAAAAAAAGAAAATATGAATATTTAAAAGCCTAATTCTATTTTGAACTACATGAACTCCCATCATGAATCACTTAGAAATACTATGAATATACTTCATACAAGTACTTAACAAAACCAGAAATGAGCATGTAGCAAAAATAACAAAAATCCTTTGCACTATCCATATATTTTAAGTATTCAAACTAGTATAAAGTATCTCAGCTTTGTTTCATTTAATTTTGACCATAACATAGAAAAACAATGCTCATAGTTTCATCCACAGGATTCTACAAAGCTGCTGCTTCATTCATCAAATCTTTGAACTGCTTCAATATCAAATCCAATTTTTCAATTTGCTTAAAAATCATTGCAGAGAATTTCCAAGCATTTGAATTGCAATACAACCAAAATATGGACTTGGTACATTTTTTTGGCATTATTTCTAAAATAAGCTAATTTACATAAGTACTCTCAAAATAACACAATGGGATTCAACTTCATTTTAGACATTTGGAAAGCAGTGTCATACTTTATTTAAAATAAACCCATGTAAAAACAAAGTTTAAATGAAAATGGTACCTGAAAAATAAATTATTTGATATAAAACAAATCAATAACTTAAAAACACACTAAATATACAAAATGTTTAACCATATACTGTACAGTATGGAAAACAATTGATAAAACCTTCTGTCCCACAAACAGATTAATTTATAAACAAAAGATTACATAAGTTAAGGGAAATGAAATCAATAAAAAGACTAGAAGTACAGTATTGTTCAAAGCTACTGGTCAAATAAAGGTTTATCCCAACTTATGTTTCAAATATCTCAAGTCATTTTCTTCTCAATGACCAAGTGAAAAAGTTCAGCTGTATCACTGAAAAGTTGTTTAAAATATTTAAAAGTAACGAACAGTAATTACTATGAGAATAAAGGTTCTAAAATGTGAACACAGTAGCAAAATTTTCAAGGTTTACGGTGGCAAATTCTACTTTTACTGAATTTCCATCATTATCAACAAAAGAATATAGTGCTGAAAATTCCACTCAACAGAAAAATATCTCTAGTTAAAACTTTGTAAATCTTTTACTGAGTGTGATATACAACAAATAACTGCAGCAGGACTGAAGAAAACAATAACAGGTTTTAAAGCCAAAGCCACTCACTTGGTGTTTTATTTTGCTTTAGCGCTTGTAAAGGCTTTAACTTTTTTTTTTTCTCTCTATAAATCATGCAGAAAGAGAAAGCAATGCCTATGGGTTTATTTAGCTCTACTACTTAGGATTACTACAAAAAAAAACGCATACAGAAAAATTAAGCTGTACCTGATTAAACTAAGAGTTTACACATTTAGAAATTAACGGCAATTTTCAGTTCTGCGCTGGATGTGCCATGGAGATGTGCATTACATGGTACCAATTCTTACTTGCAAGAGTGAGGCAACAGTGTCCCTTTTTTTTTTTTTATGAAAAACACTTCTTTTATTATTATGAAGTAGAAAACCAGTAGGGTGTTATGAGCATATTAAATCCAGCCTACCCTTTTGATCAATTTATTAATGCATCAGTGCTACGGCGTTGAGAATCCAACATTGACAAGAGGTGCAGAGCTACATTAGAGGAACTTGTTTAGGGCCCAGAAGATGCTTCTGCTCCCAAATACAGAAGTTACAATATTTAGCATGACAAATTCATTTCTCAAGGGGGAAAAAAAATATATATATACATTTATATAAATGCAGCTCCAACAAGGGTGCTAAAAGGGAGCTGAGCTTGCTTACACTAACCATGAATTTGGTCCCTTCGCTCTAAAGCTATTCTTAGGAGCCTAAAAGTAAAGTGTTACAATAAGGTGCTTCAAGGACAGACCTTATCATAGAGGTAGCAGTAGGACAAACAGCTCTGTACTTGACTTTTGAGATTAAACCACAAGATTGCCACCAGCAGGTTCACAAAAAGCTCTATGTTTAAAATAAAATAAAAAAAAAGTTCCCATAAATGCTAGTATTTTGCAGGTAAACATGAGAAGACCTAATTTCAATAATCAGCTGACTTTAGTTATAGACTTGTTTATTTTGTTCRAAAAGTATATTTCAGGATATTCTCGAAAGATTTTTGCTTTGTTTTTAAGCTCATTTGTGACTATAAACTATCCAAAAAGTAACCTTATTCCAGTTTAGAATAATGAAAAAAACTCTTTTGAAATATATGAAATACTGTCCTTATCCAGAACATGAACCAACACAAAGTGACAATAATTGTTGAAAGACCTTAGGATGATTCATTTGCAAAGCTTAACATTAAGAGTGAATAACCTTTCCAATTTTTAAATCGTTTAAAACTGTCGAATGTGCTTTCTATAGATGCAGCTATGCCAATATATTTCAAGATTTTTTTTAAGTGCTTTGTATAAACAACATTACTGCAATGTTCAATACCCCTAGAAATATAGATGGTCTCTCCAAGGTTTTAGGAGCAAAAGACACTGAAATCCTGAAATCCTTTGGTCATCTGCAATGACATAAATGACCATAAACTGACCGACTGCTATTTGCTGCAGTGAGAACTTTCTATTGTTTTAGAGACTTGGACACCTCTGAGTTTTCAGTATTTTTCATGCTATCATGATACAGATGTACTGAAAAAATATGACCAAAGGGAAGGAAAAAAACATGTGGACGTACATGGCTATGAGGACACTGCTTAGCACAGAGGTTTCTCTGCCTTCTCCTTCCACCCTAAACGGTGGCTCAAATCCTTCACAGTCCCAAACCTAGAG